ACTTATGGTCATTGGAGGTAAAATAAAATTATACAACCCCGTAGGAGTGGGCAGTAGAATTGCACATCTGGTATATAATCGACGTACAATATAGTCCAATTTAAATTCCCATAAAGCATCTCATGAACAATAAGTCTTTAGACCCCTCTCTCTCTCTCTCTCTCTCTCTCTCTCTCTCTCTCTCTCTCTCTCTCTCTCTCTCAACGAACTCACATACGTTTTGCGAACTTAGCTTTTTTCTGCTTTCTCAGATTTCTTTCAATTTTTTTTTCTTTCTTTTTCTTTCATCTTACTACTTTCCTTGATCGTTTTTCTCGGTGGAGGTCCTTAGCCCCATGGAAACGATGCGTCGAGTGCGTGCAGGCAGATCGCTGAACAACCGACTCTTAAGATGCGTACCGACACGCATTCTACGCGTCCCTCGTACTGGCTGGCAGTCGTGTCAGCAACACTCGGCACCGTGATACGCATGTAAATCCCTTCTTCGCGGTACGTACCTACATAGGTATCACGATGCCACTTCTTTGACTGTACTCTAAACTATAGTCCCCTTACCGACTCGTTTCATGTACCTACATAAGATGGTATATGGTCATGTACATTGATAGCTACATACCTATAGTTCTATACGATTAGAATGCTAAGCATTAACGTTCTTGTCCCTTTTACAGATCAAACTACAAGGAATCCAGAGTGTATATCCAAACTGTTCCTTGAGAAGCGGAAAACGTAAATACTAGACCGAAGAAACGTTCCATTAAACCCGATATCACAGTGTATCGAAACGGTTGACGAGATGGAAAAAAATGTAATTGAACTTGTGATCCATGGGTATTAAAACGTGTCTCATCAGTATGTAAGGCAAGGTAGCACTTCACAGTTATTACAGTAGATACCGATGCTTTACAATCCTCGCGTTGCTAGTGGCAATGCTAATGTGTCATACACGCGAGACTTCCTTATGTTGTGACAAAAGATGTTCGTTCTGGTGTATTACGTATGCCGTGGGCTTAGCATGGGGGGTCTGAACTTAGGGTCCCATCCAAGGACTTCTAATGGGTAAATGGCACTGGGTTTTCCGTTGGACTCTGTATCAAAGGTATGATACTGAAAATATTATTTAAAAGCAATTGCTATCTTTTTTGACAGACCCGAGGAGCTCATTGGCTGGATCCATTGCGTTACAGTGTTACACCCACGAGTCCATTTTTCATTGTGCGTATCTGCTTCTCCGTCAGTCTAATGGTGCACAGGACACAATGAGCCAGCAGAGTAATTTCCTGTCCGGCAGAGACTCATTAGTCGGAAAGCATTGTGCGTCCCTTTAGTGGTTTTTGATGTGACGCGAGAAAATAAAGCTTTCGGTACCGCCTGGAAGACTCGTGTTACGCGAGCAATTTCATAATTCGCCTGATCGTCACGCTTCCTGAAAACCATATACACAGGGCCGGCGCTATGTCCATACTCCAGCTACGATACGCCGTTCAATCTCTTATTACCTACGTGAATTCCGTGGGAAAGTCACTGACTGATTCCAATGGAATGCACACAGTTATACAGTTATCCTTGCCATATACTCTAAAATCCACCTTATTTTTGTATCTATGCATCTGTACTTCGTAGCTCTGGTTGATATCAAATTTTTCTCTTAACATTTTTTTCTCATTTCCAGACGAACCAGCAGGACCAGCGTATACGTTGCTATACCGAATAAGCAGGAGATCCTTAAGTGGCCCATTGTCCTAAGTATAAAATGATTAGGTTATTAACTCGATTATATCGTGTTGTAATCAGAGGTGTAATGGGGCTGTCCATCCTTCTTCTTGAAAGACACACGTGTACTCATTCGTTTTCTACTCATCGTCTGAACTTCAGTCCACCTATGTGCACAGGGTAGGTCTATTCTTATATACTAAATGCACGGACCGACGATTCCCATTCGGCCAGGTCGCCTGCACTCTTCTTGCTCTCCCGGTGTGTAGTTAATCGGCTGGGAGTGCTCTTGGGGCTTTCACGCTTCGCGACGCGCATCATATCTGTTTCCTGGCGATCGTTCTCCGTGACTACCGAATGCCTGCTTGACCCGTAATTACCGTGTAATGCCGGTGATTCTGCTAATTCCCTCATTCAGAGCTGATGAACCGATTCCTTTGACTTTTTATCTCGTACCATCTTCGTAAAATAAATCCTGCACGTGTTTACAGATAACTGATGGCTGCCTGTGGATATTACAGAGTGGATTGGGATCACTTAAAATGTCAGAGCTCGAATTGGCAAGTGTTCCAAATGACTCTCCACGAGAGCTATGGAGGACGGAGGGAATAAAAAGGGGTTATGAAAAGCCTGAGGATTGGAAGGTGAAGGGGTCAGAAGTTCCTATAAATGGTCAAAGTGCGTAACAGAACGATAACTCTTGGGACTCTCGGCATTAATGGGGTCCTGAGTCTATTTATCGTGGAGGAAGAGGAAGCGGCTGATGGGCAGATAGGTCGACTCGAGCGTTTTGTAACTAATTTCGAGAGTAAATTGTCCGTAACATTGGTTCGGTGTAAGCTTCGGAAAAGGGATCTCCGCTAGCGTCGAGCTCATGGCCGTCGCGATGCGTTCACCACGTCCTGAGCGTCCTGAGTCCCAACAATGTCAAAGTAGAGTGGCTATACCATATACGTAGCAGCCATTACGTATTCCATAAGGCATTGCAATTATTTTACCATCTTCTAACTTGTTCGTCATTTACTCCAGCGGGAGGTATCAACATCGAGATCTGGACTCTACCTACCTCGTGATGGCCTACGCAGCATATACTGCAGAGTAGGCAAAAGCGTGCCATTGGCAGCTAGCATCCTTATCACTCTCGCGCTGAGGTCCACCAAGGAAGAAGATATCTACAGTCCTAAGGATGACACGAGTGGAGCCAACGAGAGTCGGCGAGACACGGATAGAGGTAGAGAACGAGAGAGAGAGAGAGAGAGAGAGAGAGAGAGAGAGAGAGAGAGAAAGAGATAAAAAGCAGACACCCACTCGAATACAAGCAAGAGGACGCACCAAAGTGACTCACTGGTAGCCTCGATGCCAGGGTAATACCAGTCCTGGAAGGATCCCGTGGATCCCGCCGACTACAACCTGAATCCTGGGGACTAGTCCTTCTCAACACACAGTGGATCCTTTCCGATCATATAGCCAGCACTCTCATATGTAGAAACACTCACACGTAGTGCGAGCGGCCAACTGAACCGTGGAAACGACTCGTCCGGTATGGGGCCTTTCTGTAACCCGGACACCCTAATCGCAGATTTCCGTCCTGGAGTTCCTATACTTTTCGTATAGCCACCCTTACACTCTAGCGTGTCGCTTATTATTCCAATTATTTTCACAGAACCCTCAACATTACACGTTATTACGGCAAATGTTTGAAAAGTCTCAAATGCGCTCATTATGAATCCTGCTGGAATACCCGTAAAAATGGTCAGTCTCCTTGACTGTGCCCGTACCTCAAGGACTAAGAGATTCCAGGGTGTATCCTCTTCGGAAATAACCTCTACAAATAACATCATCCAAAGGGAGAGCCGTAGACAGGGTAGAGCACGAGAGGTGGAGGTACGAGGCGCGTGTGCCAGAGGGACGACGGCGTATCAAAGAATATTTACCCTGTCAACATCGTAGCTTTGCCTGGGGACTATGCCGCAACGTAACCAGGGACACGGGGGAGTAGACACGCTTCGAGATAATAGTAATAGCTATTATTACTTTGCCTTATTATTTTACGATCCGACCGCGCTCGATACTCTCTTTGACTGGCCAATGGTCGGTGGCCTATTTTACTTGGTCTTATATATGTTTGTATACATGCATAGTTTTTGCCTGAATCTTATAATCGCCTATAGTGCGTATGCATTTATTATTCCTGTTACCTTTCAATGGCACCAGAACACGTTGGGTGTTGCGTTATTTTATTATACGCGTATAATGCCGCTCATCGAAATGACTTAATGATCCCCACGGATCGTAACGCTGTGATTGGGCCCTGCGCATTTGCGTTTCATAAACCTTTTGAAAGTGCGTCTAAGGAGCCCGGATCGATTTCCGGGCCAAAAATAGAAATTACATCATTGGAGACGCTAGCTCGCCATTGTTTTTACCTTCGGGCCGGAAAACGACGTTTTAGTCGCTCCATCGGGCATCCACGACATTGCTAGGTACGAGTAACAGAGAGAGCATTATCACTCGCTTCTTGGAGGCTCGAGTGGGCTTATTTTATAGGAATTTAAGTATCGCTTGAGCTTCTTTATCATTTTACTGATCCTCTTTATTGTAGCAGCATCGATCAGATTCTATAGAGACGGAATTTCGCTTAGACGTCTATAGAGGACTTTTTAACCATCTACAGTTTATGGTAGACACACATATGTGACCGGTGCTTACTTAACGCAGAGTGAATCTTGGGAGAGGAAGTAATTGCGCAAATTTTCTCTTATCAGTACACTGATATTGCACGCTATACAAATAAACGTGCGGGTGAGCGGTTTGACAATCTTAGCAGAGTTAGAATTTACTCGTATAACTAAGCATGCGTTTAATCGTCGGAGAAATTTCGAATTCGTGGAATCATACAATAACTTTGTAAGGTTTGTATTAGCCTGGAAGTGGGTTATTATTCAAAGTTTTTATGAGACGGAACACATCACTGACGTAACCGTGAGATACTGTCTGATACGTGGAATCTAAACTTGACTGAGTGTACCGACTAATGTCACTTTACTTGGGCTATCGTTCCTTTACTAGAATCCAATGGGTACCATTTTCTGGCATAGCTATCATTCCTTGTCTTCAATTTACTCGTTTTACTACACTTGACATTCAAACTACCATATAGAGATTTTCAGGCAAACCCATGTATTCTTGTAAACTCCAAAAGAACGGAAACGAAGATGCCTGAGTGAAGGAAAGAAAAAAAGAAGAAGGCATTCAAAGATAAAGAAATTAATGATTTTTGTTTTTACCTGCATCTGCAGCCAGGAATAGTCGATGTAGGTCGTCGTGGTGGCAGTAAGGGATCCGGCGACGGGGGTCGCCGGTGAGATCTGGGGCCAGCCGTCCTGGCCGACGGTGCCGAGGATGGCGAGTCCGTCGGGCTGGCCACGTTCCGGTACTATCTGATCGGCATGATGCTGGTGAGGGTAGTTGGGCTGGATGATCGGTTGTCCCCCAGAGGGTAGGTTTCCGGAATGACTATGAGGATGAGGATGAGGATGAGTCTGAGCCCCCGAGCCGGCACTGGGCAAGCAGCACACGCTCACGTCCATCCGTGGGGGCGGCGAATCGTAAAACCGTTCCTGTTCCGGTTCCGGCTCCGGGTGGCGATCCCAGGCTGACCTCGCGAGGGCACCCGCCCGAGGAACCATCCAAACCTCCTTTATAACAGTTATCCACTCTTGTTCTAGCGGCAACCCCTGTCACGCGGCAGCAGCCCCGGGCGACAATGACAACCGGCTCTCTGCTCGCGACGCACCTTGGAGAAAATCACGAATGGACGCGAGGATCAGCCTAGTAGTCACAGGAACCTCTCCATCGAGGTGGTATCCTCGTCGAGGATGACCCTGTCGAACGGAGGATCCTTGCTGGATAGCATTACTTTACGAATTCTAAGTCACTCTTCCTAATCCTAGCATTCACTAACTGAACGTGTAAACTCGAAAATCCTGACAGACGTCGTGAAGTTCTTTATCGCGGTAGGTAGTTCTAGAGGAAGGCACATTAACATAGGCACGTACGCATATCAGGCACATACGTGATGAAATAACAATAACGCGATTTAATTTATTGAGGCACCCACGGGTATACACTGATCCCTGTACCACGCTTATATCGAACGATCTTCATATGAACAACATTTAGCACCAGTTTACCATCACGATTATCCACAAGGAGTTTCCAGATGGTAGAACCATCTCCGAGGAATATACAGCGGTATACCTGGAGCCCGCAGTAACGCCCGCACTATCTCTCTCTTTCTCTCTCTGTATACATACATACGTATATGTATAAATAAATATATATATATACGTATTTATATCTCTATTTCTGGCAACAAGGAGGATAGGCAAGTTTGACGATAGACGTACGAAATAACGGTGCCTGTAGTAGCACTAGCTCCGTGTAATTTTCGCGTAGTCAATAGTAGGTAGTAGTATGTCAGATCACAACGTGAGATGTAGTGTCGTATTGTTATGCCTGTTTTTTTTTGTTTAACGGTGTCCGCGCCGCGCCTAGCCAGAGTAACTAGGTACACCCTCGCGTAATTCCTCGATGACTCCCTGACGTTCTCGCCGACGAGGACGACGAGGACGAGGACAAGGACGTGATGCCGATGCTCGCGTAGGTGCGCGTGCGTGCGTGTCGCCAAGGCAACGGTCCCACGGTAACTGGCCCGGCCGAGGCGCACGGACCTCCTCGGATCTCCTGCTCACGCCCCGGGCGCGAGCTATCCGGGCTGCGGCCAGGCGGCCATCAAGAACGCCTTCCCCACCTATATCCATACTGCTTCTCGCTTCCTCTTTACTACACACTCACACACTGTCCTCTCCGGAGCTTACATGATCCTCGTGCTCACGTCTCTCTCTCTCTCTCTCTCTCTCTCTCTCTCTCTTTCTCTCTCTCTCTCTCTATCTATCTAGTGCTTTTCCTCTATTGTCCACTCTCCTACAATAAGTCCAACGCGCATTGTCTCACAATCAGAGGAATCGCCTTGCCAATTCGTGGGGGCGACAAACGTCGCGGTACTTCCCAACTATCGTAATAGCGGCTATATTTCTTATTGTTATTCTATCTTATTATAGGATTTACAAATTGGCATTTCATGAAGATGCTTTTTACACGCGTGCCGACTGTTGTCAAGCTGAATATGTACTGTTAGGATAGAGAGAAAGATTGATGAAATAATGATACCGTATCATCGGCCCTGCATCAAGGTGTCCGTGAGAAAATTGAAAAATATATCTTTAATTGTATAACCCTTGCTTTTCGATTTTTCTACTGGCCAAGTAAACATTCGTGGCGCTCTGATATATCTCCCTCTTCTCCCCCGGCAATGGATTCCCTTTCTCTTTAGATTGTGAAACTATTTTCTATCGTACGCTTTAACCGCGCAGATTTATTATATGTAATAGGTTACGCAGATTACGACAAAGTGCAAATATTTCACATGACCTGCACCTGCACGACTGGCTTTACCCTCCTCATCGCGCGATCTCCTTCGCCGTGTCCCACTCTCATTGCTCTGTCTCTTTCTCTCTCGTTACCTCTCTCATAGCCTATCCCTGTCTCTATCATAGATACAGTAACTGCCACCAGAAAGATCCCAGGACCAATGCTCAATCCTATATGAACGTGCTCTCGAGCAATCTGCTTTATTCGAGCCGTTTCTCCTTTCTCGACACCCACCAGGCCTTTCCCGCCAGTTGGCAGCCCACACCAGACACCACCATTTCTCTGTTTCAGACAGTAAAGATACAGCAGCAACAGAGGCACCATAGAAGCCTCTTGTTTCACCAGCAATCTATTCAGGTGCGCGTCGATCCCGATGGTTTATGCAGACTAAGAGTAAGAAAGAGAAAGAAGATTAGTAAGCTTAGATAGCGTGACGAAAAAATTCATTGTGATTACAGCTATGCGATACGTGGGAGCACATATTTATTCCTAAATGATAATCAGGCAGCCATGAATTCGCCGAAAATTATTTAGCGCTTACCGAATTGTCTAGCCAGCGGCCAGATAAATCCGCCTACCGAGATGACATTGTCTTGTCAGTGCTGCAGACTGATAGAGGTCGAAATCAAACACCAGAAGTTTGAGTACTGCCAGCGAAGCCTTAACCTCTGATGTGAATGAGAACCTTCCCCGAGGCAACGCGTCTCCACCTCCTGCAGCAGCGTGCTGTGCTTAATAACATTAACATATTCATTAGTATAGTGAACGATAAAAGAAGTAAATACACGTGCCGTGGGATGAATTAAAAAAGAAGGTGCTCCTACTCTTGTAAGTGAACCGGTGAACATTGCTACTGGATACTTTGGGTAAGATCATGTTCCCCTCCATTTATCTGGAACTTGAAGTATGGCGGTCTGACGGGCACATTTCATCCCCAGGAGCCCTGAAAGAAAATGGCAGCGTTATTGCACCGTAAAGCCAACTCGATCTGGTTCGGCCAATGATAGTACAGCATCCCTAAGTGTTTCACTACGCGAGGGGATCTATACCCACAGGGGAGTCCTCGAACGATACAATGGGATCCATAAGAAATTCTAAGGATTCTAGGGATCTGTATTTCTCCTTTTTAGAAGTATATACATTGGCATTGCATGTAGTTTGTCCAGTGGAAGCTGGCTTGGTAGAGCAAAGAGAGTACCTGTACCTGCAGGGTGCGGTCCCTGGTGCTTAGTCCCCACCAGAAGTGCGGAAACAGCACTACTCATGAATGGGAGTGGGTTCCGATTGGTCAGATCTCTTAGCCAATCAGCGCGCGACCGCTATTCTCCCACCGTGAGAGCAGCTACGCGCGAGAAGGACAGTCGAGCGCGAGACGCGTTGCGCGTAAGAAGTGGGAGTAGGACGGTGGCTGAAGCGTGCGCCCAGCAGGCCTCTCATATTGATACACGGAATTTACGGGTATCCCATTATCATGGAGGAAATAAAGGCGGCCTACAACGGAGGCGGAGAAGACGCACGCGTCGCTAGGTCTGACCACTTAAAGTCTGCCGATTTTACCACTGGGACGTACCCAGTCTGGAAAATAGAATTATGACGACTGCGAGGAACCCACCAATGCAACCGGCGAGCATATCTTTGAATTATCTTCTTCTGTTAGTCCACTGTCCATCTTGTTCGGAGTCTCCTGTATACAGACTTCACATTACCTTATACGTAGCTTACCTATATATCGTTTAGTAAGTAACACTAATGATTTTCTGAGCAGTTTCTTGATTAGCGCACCCCATTGATTATGCGATTAGATCGGTCAGCGATGCATGAGGTCCATTCCTTGGGCAAGCAATAAAATCAAGTTGTATATACATGGATCTCTATTAATATATATTATATATATTGTATATATATGAAACACGCACGAATAACTTTACTCGTTTGATCAACTGACGGGATCTCGATCGGGATAACACGCCTTCAATGATACTTCTATAATTATTGAAGAACAGTTGATATAAGATCCATAAGCGTGAATGACAAATTGCACCACGTAGGGGATGTAGGCAGCAGGCATATATCGTGGCGTTATTCGAATGGTAGGTACACGTAAGTACAATGCATTTGCATCATGCGACTGATTCTCTTAAACGATAAGTTAGCCACTGATGTAAAGCCTGCATCATTCTGCCTCGCGGCAAACATTCCCAATAATAGTGGAGAATATATATTCATGTTCTCAGTGTAACTGAGTGTACTGCATTTTTTTTCTTTTCTATTGACCAATGAGAACTCCACTGCCGGTGACAAAATCCTCATTTCCTCGGGATGCTGTCACCTTCTTCACCTTCCTCACCTTGACGTGCCCTGAAAACACACGGTGCTCAGCCTAGCGATTGCCCTGTCATAAAAGCATGCCGGCGTACGTCCCTTCCCTATACTTAACATAACTTAAGCGATAATTGCTCGTATTTGCCGTGGCGCATTCCCTGTAATCTGACGTTACGTCGATTTACATTGAACAGTGATTTAGCCCGGGTACATATATGCATCATACGCTCTGTATAGACTGATTGTTCCTCTTGTTCTCCCGGAGACGCCATTACGCTTGCTGAATCTCGTGTTTCGATTGCATGCATTAAAACTGCACATTCTTAACATGAGATCATCTACGTTTACTCGCATTTCGTAGACTTTCCTGGTGACGCCATCGCGTATCTAGAATACATATCGTATCCTCCATTTTTTCATACTTACTGTGCTACAAGACACTTTGAAGCATCCGTCTGCCATTGTTTCGCTCACTTTTTTCTCATTCGTGTTTGTACCCTGGGCGGATGATAGAAATTATATAAATTACTGGGAGTCGCTGCTGCCATCTCTTTCAGCTAATCTGATGTCAGTTATTTAATGTTACCATCGATACTGTATTTTGTGTCAAAGCTTCTTTATCGACTGCTGGTGAACGCTATGTGCATGCATTTTTTAATACTCCAATTCACCGTTAGGGTGTACAATGTCTTATTTTATTCTTACTCGTATTATAGTAAGGATGAGCAGAATTTGAGAGAATACATCATTTATTTAATAGATTGTCCCATTGAGAATGGCTAATATACAATTAAGTGATGAGAATATGGGTGCTCGGAGGAATCCTGGGGTAAGATTATCCTTTATTGATATCTGGCTCGTTCTATTTACAATGCAGGTAGATAGTGAAACTCATAATGTATACGGCGTGCATCGCAGTATGTATGCCGGTATAAACTTCTAGATGTTTATTGTACGTTAGTATTTTTATTTTGTTTTAGGATTTAAAGCTGACGGAAGAAGAAATGAGGGTTTTTAATCAATGTAATGCTGAGGGTATTATGAAACGTGGTATTCCTCTTGGATTGGTTTTTGGAGCTACTGCTTATTATGTTGTCAAAAAAGGCTATGTCAAGGGCCATAATGTATATGGTGCAGTACCAGGCACTATTATTTCTGGCATATTTGGATATTTCTTAGGCAGAATGACTTACACGTCCATTTGCCTTGATCGGCTTATGAACATGCCTAATAGTACAGTTCGCAGAAGATTAGAAGCTGCTCAAGGCATAGTAGGTTATGAGGGGTATGTATACTTTTTATACATGTATATGCTTATATTATGTTTTGTTAAGAAAATAATTCTTTCAAGTGGTATGTTTGTCTGTTTATAATTGTTTTTTATTCACTTTTTTTGTGATTTGTTATAGTTCTGCTGCTAACGAGAGTCTTTATATGCCTGTGAGCGTTGAGAGTGGTAATACTTCTTCTTCTGACGCTATGAATTCTTCACTGGATATTGACATTTACCATTCTCCTAATAATTTTGATGGTTTCGTTGGCAACAGTGAAAATAGTAAGTTTTATTTTATTACCTAGAACAATATGATGTATTTGTTTCGTACACAATATCTAATTTAAATACTCCCATCGAAAAGATTAATATTTTTTAACAATTTCTCTAAAATATTGTTTGATTGATAAAGAACATTGCCCACTTTTTCTTTATTCTTTATTTATATATAAGGGACAAGTACTGAAACCATCATAATTTACTAATAAGATATAAATGTTCTCAACTAGTAGTAGTAATTTTTTATTGGCAGAACAAGGTATAAGAAGTAGGAAATGTTATATGACAATTAAAGAAGAGGTTGTTTTCCACATTTTTTAATTCATTTACAATGAAAAAATGCATGCTTTAGATAATGTTTTTGGTTTTAAAATATTTCAAAGATGCTCGTAAGATATCTTCGCGGACTTGATAAAGAATCGTTAAATATAAAAAATTGGATAATCTAAAGTTGTATTCCTAGACTAATAAAATCATAAGATGTCGACAATTGTTATTAAAACTAAACTAATTGTACGCTATCGATCAATTTTTATTTGTGTACTTGAACTAAAAACGTTTGAAAATTCTAAATTATTTTTTGATATTCAGGCGATCTGCAGATAAATAAGGAAGTAGGTCTTAACGAGAGCATTAGTACTCAATCAGGTTTGTCCTACGATGAACGAAGAAAGAGAAACCGGGAGGAATACGTTCGCAGTGTAAATCAAAGGTTCGTTTAATCGATCCACATCATATTATTTTTCTAAAAACAATTGACCAAATTAACTAGGTAAGCAAGAAATTTTATTTATTTTTATATAGATATTCCCGCACGGCTACTCCCCATACGTCACACGCTTCCGTTGAAGAGAGAAATACATACCAGGAGAAGACAAAATATGGCGATGTTTGGGGTTGAAAGAAGAGAGGGACTATATTTTTTGCGTATGCTAGGCTACAATGGATTTTATAAAATGCGAACGTAGTAATAAATAGTGATTTGCATCTAAGAATTTCACAAACTTGTTATAGAGAGAATTACACCAATTTTTGACAATTATGTATCATGAATATACGAATGATGATTTACTGTACCCTACATAAAAACAATCTTATTGCAGTCGAGCCTTCAACATCGTTATGTCCTTCTACCTGGTGCATCCAGCATTTAATATTTTACATGAATCCTTCGACAAGATACCCGAATATTGTATTCAGGATATATAAGTGGTTACGAACAATGTCCTGCATGTCCTTGACTTACTAAAATAAACATTGAGGTGCTGTGATCAACGTAAATCTTAGAAATTAATTTAAATAACGACCGTTAACATGACCTGCTCTGAGTTACTTTTAACAATAAGAAATTATGACAGTACACTTCAACATGTTTAGTACCAGTGATGCTGTTATAGTACTGTACTGGGTGCATGCTGGCAAATAAGGCAGCAGCGAAAGTGAATATCTGCGAGTATCAGAATGACATGAACGAGATTCGCAACGTAAGAGAAAGGAGCCATGACAAGAGCCGAGGATAACTTTAGAGTAACGAACTAATGTGTACCTTTCTAAATCAAAGTACGTGTACCAATTATTGGAACGCACGTGGATGCATACATCGTCTTGGTCAATGGTCGTTGGTTGAATAGAGACGTCGTCCACTGGGTGAGTTTCTATATTGCAATATTGGCTTACTGATGTTTTATTCATTTTTTCAGTTCAATATTTTGAATGCATTTAAGGGGGTACAGGAGTATTGAAATAAAAAGAATTAATTTTTTTCAAATTATTGTTCTTGAAAGCCCCGTCCTTTACGAATATTACAAAAAAAAAAATTCGAGGAGAAAGTTGAAAATATACGAAAATGATAACATTAACCGTAAGTGAGTGCGCAACAGAGTAACAGCCTCGCCGAGCGATATACGGTGTGTATGGGCCTGTGCGACTTTTATGGGGAACTTCAAAGCCATTTATCTCGAAACTACACTTTACAATACTGCGGACATCATACCTCTTAAACGAATATTTATTTTCACTTGAAATTTAGTTGCATAAGGACATTGCATAAGTTGAAAAATAAATACAAATTATTGACAAAAATTTTTTATCGTAAAAATGAAAAAAAAAATTAGATATTGTATATGCAATTTTAAAAGTTATCTTTGAAATTCCTTCAAAAAGTTCCATGTTGTAGTTTTAAGCATATAAATTACTTATCTCAAAGCATTTTGCTTTCAGATGATTGGTTCACCTGAGATTACGTCCACAGATTGAAAGCTGTAGCACTTAATAATTTTCATAACTTTGAATATATCAAGAACTTTTTTCTTTCAAAACACTTAAAACTTTAGTTTTTAAGCAATTGAACCTGGCGAAAAGTCGATTTTTTAAAAGTTTCAATAGTCCTGTACCCCCTTATTAGCGATCTGGATTTTTGCAAACTATAGTAATGTACAATTCGTTTTACGGTTGTTATTGCTACCTTCTCTCTTTGTCATAAGTGCGTGCAAGGTATATCCAGTTATAACTGGATTTGGAAAAACGACTTGCGGAAAGCCTCGAGCGTGATTTCTCTCACGTCGTGCGAAAATTCAAGGCTACAATAAAATTGATGTCCAAATTACTATAATTCAGTTTAATGATATTTACAGTCATTTTGTTTGTCAAGTTTACAGTGCGGCAAATACGTTTAAGAATATTAAATGAAAATAAATAATTATAATATTTGTCGTCGGAATTATTAAAAGATATGATTCACACATACATGCCTGCACTTCTTGGAGGTATGGTTGATAATAAATTATTATCTGAACTAGATAGACTAGGCAGAGTAGAGAGGAAGCGGTCAGTGACCAGTTAGCAAAGGTGTTTGCTATTTTGGATCGTGTTCCGAGAGCGACGTGCATCTTGGCACCAATCTCTAAATAGTTCCATTAAAACGGGAAATAAAAGAAAATCCATGCTATGATCGTGAACTGTATTTTTAACGTTACGTTATAAGCAGTAGTATGTATATAGGAGTACGTTATTATGCATACATGGTATACTACATATAAGTTGCCGGCTGCCTTCAATTATTATAAGTATATTGATAATAATTTTTTAAAACATTATTCGAATGCAACGTTAGCTGAAAACTTAAGTCTTAAAGCTAATCACCTTTTCCCACGTTTTCTTTCCTTTTAGCATTGTATCTTTTCTTTCTTTCTTGTTGTCGGTGAATTTAATTTTGCCTTTAGCCTTGTAAAGCCAGTTTCACAGCGTCCGTGACACACGTCCTTTCCTCATACACTATTGTGCCATTGGGAGTGCTGAACAACAAATGAGCACTTGAAATTCCAAAGGATCAAAACGATTTATGAAAGGAACAAGGATTTGTTTGATTGTTTAATAACGTCTGCATAATTTTTTTATGAGACCATTAATTAAATTATTGTCAGAAGTATTAGTCTCTATATTCGATTGTATGATTCCACATGCGTTGAGTAAGCATGGCCATGGGTTTTGACACACGTTTATTTAAGTGAACGCATATATACGCATATCTTACGTAAGATGGCTGATGACACTGTACTCTTTTTTTTTTAATTTTTATTCTTCCCTGACGCAGTGACCAATTTTCGCCATATATTTCCTTGAGATAATATGAGATCGTTAAAATCAGTGAAACAGAAAATTAACAAAACTGACTAAAAATAAAGGTCGCAACTCGTGCCCTGACGCGCCGGTCTCATCATGACGGAATCGACTCGGGATGTCCTTTACGTGACTTACAGAACGGATTTATATCTTGCCAGAACTAAATATAACTACCAATATTATGCAGGTTTGGGTCAACCGATGCCAAACTTGAATTTACCGAACTTTAGCGGACTAAAATGATCCATTTTATTGTAGTCTATATCACAAAAATAGTATGTATAAAATGCAGGCTTTCTACTGAATCTTACTTAATCATCGCGTTCGTCTTAGATATAAGAAGAATGGGGGCAAGATTATTTGTTCTCTATATCTTGATCAATAAATGTTTGGATGACGATTCCACTGAATAATCTCAACTTCGTGTGTTATTGTTATTATATTACTGATAATCTTTTAGAAACTTGGATCAAATAGTAATTCTATTTGTTTCTTGTTTATTTACCTCTTAATAAAAAGATACGTCCACTGTTAATAGGCCGAGGAGTCAGAACATTCCTGCTTAGAATCCTCACTTTGTATGTCGGCTAAGATAACAAATACTTCACTCCAGTTCTCGCATTATCTATAATCATGTAATTTTCCATAGAATCGACCAGACAAATAAAAGTGGTAGGAATACCGACCCTTCATCACCCTCAATGTAGCCATGAAGTTGCAAATAATATGCATACATATTTTCTCCTTATCGCAAACAATTAGACGTATTAAAGCCTACGTGATTGATTAAATAAATTCTAACACGCGACATCTCAATCAGAGTATCTATAATTGGCATGGGTAGCACGCTTCCTGATTTACTTTTACTACCTATCAGTATTTTCTATCTAGGTACCTTATATTTCCCATTATCCCTTTGGTATTGCTTACAGGTTACCTACCTCTTGCGCACGTTTTAAATTTCACTGACGATCACCTAACCTAAAACAATTATTTGTCAGGACCGATAGCTTCTCGAGAGCAAAGTATTATCCAGTATGTAAAAACGAATTTCGTGTCAATACGTGCAATTAAAAATTGTCCATCACTGCATTTTTTCACTGTACCCGTTACTAGCAGTGCATACGTTTATCGGTTTTCTAACCTCTTTTTTCCCGTTTCAGATATACCGAAGGAGGGCATCTCCAATGCTACCTATGAATTCGTTACTGCCTCTTGAGTTAAACTACACTTATACGTATATTTTCCTAAGACGTCGTAGGAAGGGCATTTTATCTTTAGTTAACCAAGTGTCGTAATTGCGTGGGAGACATTGAAACCTACGTTAGGCGTGACATTCTAAACATTAATTTCCTCCTAGTGGTCGAGTTCTTCTCTGTGTTCGTTACACTGTACCTTCTTCTCGCCATTCTCCTCCTGCTGTCCTCCCCGTGGTCTTATGCGCAATTACATATTTATATCGTTAAAGGGGATGCATGTGCACTTGTACCATCCTCTTTCATACAATGTGAACATTCGTGCGTCTAGGCTAATTCATTTGATCAGCGTACAATCGGCCGGCCTATGCACTCAGTATAGTAGCTCTCTTTCTTCATTCAATGCAAACCCATTCAATGTTTGGAGATCAGTGACTTTCCTTGATACTTAAATATATATATGTCATATTGGATTTGCGTCTGTAATATTGATTTGGTAATTTTACAGAAAATGCTGCTATTCATATTTCCTGTTACAAGGTTAAAAAAAACACGTCACATCCGTTGTTTGTATTACCTTCATTTGGTTGCTACTCATTGATCCAATTCAGAAGGTCATTTGCACTTGGGAAAGTCACTGTGCCATTGACTCCATTAAGTACAGTAAAGGCTAAATCAGCGGGAAACATAATGAGTCGTTAGTGGATCTCAATTTGATCATACTAATTCCACCGTTGCCATACGTTTCGAAATGTCTGCCCTTACGTTACATTCATACAGTAGTGACATCTACCTAATAAGGAAACTGTTGCTCAATTTGTTTATGTTGCTCTTTTGTATCTTATAGGCTTATCGGTTATGAAAATTTTCATGAGATATCCTTCAGTTTTTAATATTATTTTTTTTTACTATTCTGAAATCAGTCGTTATTGTTTATAATTATAAATTTGCCAATGAATTTCTTTAGCACCCTATCATAGGTTGCTGCGCATATGGTAATAGAATAAACGATTTAATACATGTGTCTAAATGTGAGATTGGTAGGACGTGGTAAATCTTATATCAGAACTAATGGAATCTGCTACTCGGAGTAATATTTTAATGCCCAATTAATTTATCGGACCTTTATCAGTGATGTAAACACGATGACTATCATTGATTAAAATTGTATAGCTATCTCGTTTGAAATTGTAATACTTTTTTCTTTTATTTTTTGCTTTAAAGCCGAGGGTGGCTCCTAGCTTCGGTCCTCATGGGGTTCCTCCCTCTCTGCATGGGGTACATGCTTATTCTCTGCTTCTTAGGAAATTCTCAGCCACCATGGGGATGATCCCATTTCTTATTTCAACGAGAGTAACGGACCAAACATCCACAAGGATCAGCGGCATTCCTATTCTTGAGTTTTCTTATTTCTATACTGGTAGTTCTGCTGTTCCGAGAACGTACTTCTCCATGTTTTTTGCTATCCACTTGTTACTGTCCCATTTTTTTTTGCATTTTCCTGCAGCTTGTTGCCGCATGGACGCATGCAGGCTTGTCGCCGAGACAAGAGTGACTTCAGTCGCACTCAAGCCGTCGATCGTTGCGCATCGCGTGCGAAATCAACTCTTATTTATACACATGGAAAGGTGACGAAAAAGGATAAACGGAACATTTCCTGGATTATTAATAAGGTCCGATCACTTGTGTTAGAATTAGCGGTGTTTTACCTGTGATAGGGATTTTTTTATTAATTATATTGACCGTGCGATTAATAACGTAACGAAAGCTGCTACGTTTCACGGCTACTACAATTTTCTATATTTCCACTTATGTCTATGAATCCTTCATACCCGCGAATGGTCAGTGCACTAATTAATTATCTATATTCATATACATCCGTCACTGTAGTACAGAGATCAGCAGAAGTTTTTTGTGAAACTCGTGCAGAGTCAATTAAATCTTCCGCGTTATTTTATAAATTATTAACTGGTCTGTCTTGGTCTTCTTTAAACATAATTGGAATGCTTACATGAACATTACTACTCCCTACCAGTATATATATATACACAGAGTGAGAATCAATATATATATAGCGGTTTCATTGTTAAGGAATCGTGCCAATAATCCTGGTAAGTAGTGTCGTCGTCGCGTCCTAAGACGATCTGTGAGTTTGGAGAATGTGGTTGCAGAAGACTATAAGGACTAGATGCAATGCGATGGTAAAAGAATAAGAGGGAGAGAGAAAAAAGATATGAACGGTAACTCGACGGGTAACACGTGCCGCACTTTTACTTTGCCAAATGAGTAGGATTCGCTCATCGCATAACAAACCACCTTATAACGTTCTCTTGCGTAATGCCGAGCGTCCTTGCTGGCCCAAAAAAAGCTCCTCGTGATTCCATAGGAATTGTCGATTCGCAAAGGGAAAGGGTGCTTAGGGCACGTCAAGGAAAATATAGTAAGATGGAAAAACGAACGAGGAATATCATTCTTCGAATATCGAATAGTCCATTTTATTGACCTCTCTATCCTGATAAGACGTTTAAGACTTTTATCTGAACTTTTTGCGTGACGATAGGAAACTTTTATTTTTGTATATTTTGGCACTGTGATTGGCGTCGTGGATCGTATCGTTGACAGACCATAATATCGCCAACTTGGCAGCTTCTTTTAAATGATTCTTCCTTTCTAGTTCCTTAATTCTTCACCGTTGACCCTCGGCCGCTTCTAATTGCAGATGGAACTTCATACCAAGCCGAACATGAGCAATCAGGAGAAGAATGCGATATGCAAAGTGGAGACGGCCTTTAAGGAAACCACAAAAATGGAGTTAGTTATAGATTTATAATTTGTATTCTACTATCTTTTCCTTTTTTTTTTTTGAAGCACTAAAGTCAATCTTCATAGATCGCCAGCTCCAATTATTATCTTCTCTTATCTACGTCCTTGTTTCATTACATTCTGATTTTCCACAGTAATCAAGACATTTATGGAGCCTTTCAATCCAAGGATCTTATCGTGGGAATTGAGAAGTCCGAGAACAATGAGGCTGGAGATTCGCATCCGACTTCCGATCATCCGACCTCGTGAGTGTCTATTGGAATTGAACTGCTTTTGGCTGGTCTATGAGTTTAATCAATAGAAACGCAAATGTCATTCAATGGCAATTCAAATTTATTACGAGAATTATTAAGCATTACGTATCATAAGACATTAAGTGTGAATCTTTCCTTCGAGATAAGGATAACAATCGTACTCACGTTGTACGCTGATTACTGCTTATAATACAATATTTAATCAGCGGTATAGTGTGTCTGGAAAGATGTTCTAAATTAAAAATGTCTTAATCAAATTCTCAAAGAAATGTTACAACATGATTCTGATGTGATTAACTCAAGGTACAACGCTTCTCCGGTAATTTAATAGCACAATCCACAGTTTATCTCATTAAATAATTAGAGACAATTGTTTCTTTCGGAGAACTATGCGCATGGAATATATTTGCTTACTGTTAAAGCTAAATACACACATATGACAAAGCTCTTGCTAAAAGTATTGTCCGAAGTTGTAATGCTACTTAAGGTACAATGGTTTCTGTTTGCTTATTGTATGTTGTGGACTACTGGTAATTTAATATAATTGCCATGTCAAGTGAACAATAAATTCCTCATTAAAATGTATATATAAGAAATAGGTAATAAGCCTCGTGCTTTTAATAATTGTACTATTTAACAATTATTGCCCTCGACACTAGATATACCGATATTTTTTTATAAATATATTTTTGGCTTTAAAAGGGTCAAATGATTGATCAAATGATTGATCAAATGATTGATCAAATGATGTTCATGGTACCCATAGTGTTAAACGAGAATTATTTGATTGCTCTGAAATCGACTGATCGACATGATGAGTGATACTTATTAATGTATTTTCAGGTACCTGGAAACCCTTATGCATTTGTTTAAAGGGAACGTGGGTTCCGGAATATTTGCCCTGGGCGATGCTTTCAAGAATGCTGGTATCATCCTGGGTCCATGTCTCACACTGTTCCTTGGATTTATTTGCGTTCACGCTCAACATATGCTGGTGATTAATCAGTTGGACTTGATTCTACTCTGCCGGAAACCCTTCAATGTATTTAATCTCGTGACTGATTGCAGCTCAACTGTAACGAGGAGGTTCGAAGACGCGTCGGTGACTCCTCGACTGTGCAACCAGGATTCGCTGGAACCGTAGAGCTGTGCTTTGCAACGGGTCCACTTCGATTTCGCAAATATTCTGTTCTGATAAGGTATGCTAAGTGTATAGTAATAATAGGTAACTGATGGTAGTATCTAAAAGGAAATCCGCTAAGAAGTGGCTATGAGAATACGAATACGAATACGAATGTGAATACGAATTCTTTGGAGTTGAATGGATACCTACACGATTCCCTCAGTAATACGGATTTCATTTAATTCCAGAAAATTGGTTAATGTATTTTTGTGTGTTACGCAACTTGGATTTTGCTGCGTTTATTTTGTTTTCATATCGAAAAACATGAATCAGGTGAGTCCCATTCGACGACTAAAGGTCAATAGGTAATTCTGGCGATATAACATTAATTTTAGCTGCAGGTTCATTTTTATCTTTTTTTTTAAAAACAAAAAAAGGTCCTGAGTGTTTACGAAATTAACATAAGCGTCGGCGTTCTCATGGCCATCGTTCTGATTCCTATTATGCTGAGTACCTGGATAAGAAACCTCAAGTACCTCGTACCTCTGTCGTCCATAGCCAATTTTTTAATCATCGTGGGATACATAGCAACTATGTACATAATGAGTCACGACTTGCCTCCCATCCAGGAACGCAAGTACGTCGCCTCCTGGAGCACATTGCCGCTGTTCTTCGGAACTGTTATTTATTCTTTTGAAGGTATCACCCTGGTAAGAATCCGTTTGACATTTTTTTTCTGAATTTTGAGCTATCACGTAAGAGACCTCGATTTCATTGACTGTAATAGAAACATATATTTTAGGTCCTGCCTTTGAAGAATGAAATGAAAAAGCCAAAAAACTTTGACAAACCATTTGGCGTACTGAACGTTGGCATGGTGATAGTGGCAATAATGTTTGTGGCAATAGGATTCTTTGCATATCTCAAGTACGGGGATGACGTTCAAGGCTCCGTGACTCTAAATCTAGGTTCCGCGATGTAAGTACCCATTTTGTATAATGGATTCCTTAAAAGTCGAGGGAAACAGACCAGATTAAATAACTAAACATCATTTTTTTGCATATGAAGAATTCCAGGACACACGGATGGTTTCCTTTCAAGGTTTATCATTTCTCCATTTTGTGTGCTCTTTTTTTTTCTTTCTCTGTTTCAAATGTAATTCCTATCGATGGACCTATTTAAACTACAGCATGTGTTTGCCGCGTGACCCGTATTTTTTACACCAATCATTATTACCTGAGTTCGTAATATAAATCTTATCTCATAAGCAATACTGATATGTACGTGGACTTAAGACATACTTTTTTCATTATTTCAGTTTACCTCAATGCATTAAGATTTGCATATGCATCAGTATACTGTTCACATATGCACTACAGTTTTACATACCAGTGGCCATCATATGGCCTGGTATAACTAGTCGGTTTGGTCCATTCGCATGGCCCACGGTTGCAGAGATCTGCTTCCGGTCTCTTCTCTGTCTCGTAACATGTAAGTAGTTGGTATTTTTTCAAATTCCAATCAATATTACGTGTCTTTTGACGAAAGCCTTATTAATGTTGTTCTTGTATTTCTGTCCCAACAGTCATCCTGGCGGAAGCAATTCCGCATCTGAATCTGTTTATCTCGTTGGTGGGCGCCGTGAGTAGCACGGCCCTGGCATTACTGTTTCCGCCGATTATAGAGATGGTGGTCTGCTGGCAGAGCGCCACACTCGGTATCTTCACAATTACGAAAGACATACTTATACTACTGATTGGATTGCTTGGTTTCGTTACGGGAACGTATGAGAGTATTACGTCGATTGTCGAGGCGTTTAGTAAACAATAAAATTTTGTATGTATATAATTATATTGGAATATTTTTTATTTTATTTTTAATAAGATTTCTACCCGTATATTATAATATATTTTTCCCACTATACGTCAACGTCAGTCCATTGTACCTGGGCTAGAGGACTTGTAAGTAGTTGCCTGAATTTGAAACGTGGGACGGTCCCTGGGACGTATAGACATTCGAGTTTCCATTAAGGAGTAATTCGGTCCATGCCAGTCATACCTACGATTGAATTAGATTACGCTAAATGATAAGAAGTAATCTGTAAATATGTTGATAACTCTGTATCATCTGTCTAACCAGTATATTCCTTGAAAATTATAATCCTCTGGAAGGTCACCGTTGAGATAACGACCATTGAGGTTGCTGGTGTCGCAGCCATTGTACCACCAGGCACCCGTGTGAGACACAGCGCAGTTGCCATCAAGCCAATTGTCATTGTCCACGTCCATTGTTGAGAATTTTTGACCGGCGTGATAAACCAATGAATCGCCTAAATAATGCCAAGATAGTCAGCCGATTATTCTTGATTGATCTAGTTTCTTTAATTTTTTGTTCATCTTTTCTATGCATCTTCTCTTAAAAACATCACACCTGCATTGCCGGTGTATTTGCCAAGAATTTTGAGGGCATAGCCTTCCTCTTGAGAACCGATAGCGAACGAATCATAACTGGCGTAGACCTTATTTCCCTCGTGATCCTTAAGTTCAATTAGAAGCTCATACAATTTATGTCTTGTGATCGCGTGAATATGACGTAGTCCTAGCCAGAATTCTCCGAGCAAGTTGCCGAATCCAAGTTTGTACTCTTGCCAGTCCTTGTAAAAGTCAGACGCGCCCTCGTGACGATTTTGCAATACCTGAAAATTAGGTATCGTAGGTGATTAAGTATCGTTGTAATTCTCTTGATTTGGAAATAATAGTGGCGAATGAAAATAGTAAACAGCCATTTGCATAATAACGTACAGTCCAACCTCCATCGTTACTTTGCATCTCACAGTATACATAAAAGGAATATGTCGAACTGGATGGCCTAATTTTATAAATGCCTGATTCCTTCTGCCCGTTCTGGAATATGTCCCAGCAATCCGACCACTGCTCTTCGCCTATCCTCTGATGCTCAATTGTACAAACGTCTTCCTGACCTCTGGCCAGACTTCTGCTTTCTAGAAACTTCGTATTCAGGAGCTTAGTTGTCGGTAATTGCTTGGTTTGCGTCAGAATTTCGCTGTAACAGGTATATTGTAGGAAAACTGTCTCTTAAATTAAGTTTGCATTCAGATTCAATAATTTGTACCTAGTCGAGTTTGCTATCTTGGATACATTAAGTTTTAGCAAAGAAATCTCGTTCGAGACATCGACAATCGATGAACGTATAACTTGTACAGACATTTGTAGAATTTGAAATTTATTTTGAGTCTCTACCAACGCTTCATTCGCTATATACTTCAGATTGGTATTTGCTATTAATTGGAAGAAAGTTGTTATTTTGATTAATAGAAGTACAGTATACAGATACTATGAAAAGATACTGTGTTATACCACTACTGATTGTAACAGTTGATCGTAATTGGTCGAAACTTTGTCGAAGGAAAGTTGTGTCTTCTTTAAGAGTATCTAAAAGCGATTCAACTTTGCTACTTTGCCAATCCAACTGCTGTACTCTCCTAGAAATTTCGCGCAATTCACTGCGAATATTCTCAGCCCTTTCCTGACTTTGAACTTCCAATTTAGTAAATCTGTACTCAAGGGATTCAAGGTGCTTTGACTGTTGCTCATCCAGAGCAACCAGAGCTGAGAGTCTTTCATTAAGTCTATGAAAAACACCGTCTCTACGGCCAGAAGTACTAAAAATATCCTGAGATTGTTTTTCTATGATTAATTTCAGCATGAGTATAACGGACATTGTTTTATTAGTATAATTAATTAATTAATTCTACCTCGGACGAATTGAGCGTGACACTCTCTTGATCCGTAGAACTAGAAATATTAGATAGTTCAAGGAGATTCCACTTGGTATCCTTTTCCCCCTGAAGATGAGCTCGCTGCCTTCTGTGAAGAGATCTATTGACGAGTTTTTCTAATGTCACCAAACTCACTAGACTCGAAAACGTAATAACAATTTTAATAAACGTATTGAAACGCGCCATTGTCTTTGCCGTATGTTACTTTTTGATGTAGAATTAGTGTGAAGTTTCAAGGCGTCTTTAACATCCACTCCTCCCTACTATCTCCCTGAAATGATGAAGATAACATGCGTCTTTGATTTGTTTTCCACATTGCCACTGAAGATCATTAGTGTCATTAACACGAGAAATCAATAAAATAAATTATAAGCATTATCATTGAGACTGGAATACCAGGAGGACACAATGGATGTATGAAAGAACAAAAAGGGAATGAGAAATGAAAAGACATTGCAAGCTTCTAAAGATATATATTCTTAAAGAAAATTCTGTACATTTTAATTAAGAAAATCTTTCTGAGAAATATCACAATGTTCTATGTCCTGTTCATCTTTTTCACATTCTTTGTCGCTCTCTGTCAAGTCCGTGGATTGCAATGCGAAACGTTGTTCAATCCTCCTACACTTTGGGCAATGATGATTCCGTTTGGACCAGCAAACCCTATGATACACAGTTCCGCATTTTGGGCAGGAAACTGCAGCTTCATTCCATGGATAAATAACTTCATCATTACCACACAATTCGCAGAGATGTCCACGTGCCTTACACAGAGCACATAATTCTGTTATATGACTAGCCATTGCATCATAGGCAGCTCGAATCTCTTCTATAAGAGTGCCATTTTGCAAGTCAACCAAATCCTTTATAGAATAATTTCCAGAGTTCTCCACAAGATGAGTACGCAATCCTGAACGCCAGGGTAGACCTTGTGTATTAGCATCTGGGCAGAGCACTAAGTACCGCTTCATCATTTGTAGTTCTTCCCTTAATTTCTGAGACAAAAATAAATTAGGAAAATTAGCTCAAGCATTAGTAACGTTATTAAGACTATCACAATAATGTATACCTTAACAAGAGACAGGTCAGGTACAAGTGTGAATAATTTAGGATTCAATCGCTCTAGAGGAAGAACAGGTCGTTCTTCTATAAGGAACAAGAGTTGAGCAGCTGCACGACAAACCCTTCGTGGTTCCATATCCCAATTTCTTATTATTCTGGCTGGTATTACAGCCAAAGTATTCCAGTGGCATCGCTGACAGTAATAGAGACCATTGTAATCACAAAGTCTTGGCTCCACCCAACTGGATTCTGTAATTACAGAGGACAATTAATTCATTGTTATTTATAGAAGTAGATGAGTTAAAATTAATTTGGTCCCACATAGTCTCATTATATACCTGTGTATCTGAAAGGACTGCCAAAGCATGACAGTGATAATCCTTTCGAGAATGCTTGTAAGAGAATTACATTAAGTAGAATGTACAGCGTTAAGAGAAGTAATTTTAAAAGAAATCATACACTCTCAAAAAGGATAAGAACTTCAATTAAAACTTACTAAATGTTATTCTTGCATTACATTCTGCACATTTATAGCCCTGTGCTGATAAACCTTTTTCTGGACAAATATCTCTGGTATATGTATAGCCTCCTGCTTCGCTGGCTACTACATGTACACATATTCGACATATCCTATTTAAGCACTTCCAATGGCAGCAGAAACCACAGTCTACAAGATGATTGTTTTTGTGATCATCAAAACACTTGTGGAATTATTGTAATGTGCTTACCGCTACACATATACCAAGACTGTAGCATTGTCCAAATAGCACCACTACAGTGATCACAATATATAGGGCCTGTAGTAACAATATGGTGCTTTTGCGGTACCAAATGATGTCCCAGAATCACCTGAGTCTCAAGAAGACTTTCATCAGAGGTTTCCCGAAGTTCTTGAACTCTTAGGCGTAATTCGATCAGTCTACGAACCAACCACTTTCTTTCTTCGGAACATTCCTCACTCTCTAGGACCATTTGCTTACATTTTCTTTCCATTTCCTTTAGATCCTCCTCAGAGGCATCCTGAAATGACAAATGCATTAAGAATATAATAACGACAAAGGGTGACTGAATAATTACCGCTGATAGTAGTAGTTGTGTTTCAACAGACTTTAAAGTAAAGGGTATTGTTCCTTTACTGTCAGAACTATCATCAGCATCGCCAGTAATATAATCTGACGAAGACGACGGAGTTGAGGCTGTTGTGCCAAAACTATTAGTTCTGACTCTAGTCTCGTAATTCTGATCTTGGAGATCTGAGCTTATTACCTTGAAATCAGCCATTGGAATAATGAATTAATACTACTGACTGCACTAGAACGTCATTTGCACTATCGTTGACTATTGTAGTTTTGTCTACAATGTGATAACAAAAGTGTCCGAGATTACTGTTAAACTCCTTGACAAGCTCCTCACAACAAATCGAGTCATGTGTTTACTCTGCTTAACTCGTAGAGGACTCTGTCATGCTGATTTGTTTCTTCTTGCGCTCATTCTTGTGTATGCTTGGTTGAAACAGCCATCGACATATAGTACTGGACTGCTCACTGTTGTCGCAAAAAGTGTAACCGGGAATAGAAAGAGAGAGCAAACCGTAAGGACCGTTCTGTCCTTTTCTATTGGTCGAAAGTTTTCTGGATGGAAGGAGTTCAGGACTGTAATATGCAAAATAAGAACCATGTGCAAGATTACTCCGCATATCTCTAGCACATCTCCTCATTAGAGGAGTCAGCCATAAGGAAAGGAAGGAAAGGAAGTGTTTATCAAAATTCAATATTACTAAAAAAAATGGTAATTCGCTGTCCTAAGTGTGGGCTATCGCGAGACCTGTATTTTGAGCCCAATACGATAAACTTTCACAAGTAAAGTTAAAATATAATCTTAAATTTTATGGTTAACATAAGATTAAATCAATTCTTAAACTTATAAAATATATAAATAAAGTTCATCAAGAAACATACATTTTACTACGCAAGGTTCCCTTATTCCTGATTCCGCTCCTGCCCAAGAGAAGGACGGAACGGTCCTTACGATTTACTCTTTCTCTTTCTATTCCCGGTTACACTTTCTGCGGCTACAGTGAACAGCCCAGTACTACTTATATGTCGATGGAAACAGCTGATTGCAATCGATGTTTACCTCATTTTACTGATACAAGTTGACTGAAGTTGATTGAGACATTAGGACTATTCTCGTTACCTACACATTCTTCACTTTTCAAAAAGTTAAAATTCTCATTGGTTACTTAAAAATATCCTCTAATAAGAATTTGCACTTTTTGAATAATGCAGAAAGTGTAGATAACGAGAACTATTAAATGGATATTTTAGATTTCACAATTATTCTTTTAAAAACATTATAATCTATAAAGATATGGCATGAGATAGTAATTAAATAATTTTTGAAGAGAACAGGTTATTTCTTGTTTTTTACATCAGAGTCATTCTGTCAGTCACTTACACCATATCACGAATTAAAAGATTACAACATACCAGAAAGGTCATATTTGACCATACCAAAGTTTCATTATTTAAAAGCCATCACTAGATTAATCCACAATTTCAAACTTTAGGAACAAAAATTTAGATTATTATGATTTTTGTAATGGCTCACAATCACATCTATTCACTTATCCTTAGCTTAATGTTGTATTGACACAAGTTATGTCCTATGTAAATACTTTGCCATTGATTTACTAAAGAAGAATACTTCCCAAACATCCTCTTTTTACACCGAATCTTTCATGCTGAAATAAAACAGATTCTATTGTCTGAATGACTATAATAATTACTGTAGAGTATTTAAAAAAGAAACAGACCAATGTTGATATTAATTTACAATACAAAATTTGCATATAAGATTGTTCATGAATTTGTAATGACGCGTTCTTGTGATTAGCACAGTAATATTAAATTTGAATGAAATCTTTGTAGAATATAGCAATTGTATTCTAAAAGCATACTGTGGTCTCAAAAGAAGTGTAGTATAAGACTCCAATCTGAATAATACATTATAACCAGAACACATCAATGCCATTCTGTTGATACTGCAAAATATAACACCATGTGCTTTGCTATTCTTTAGAAAGGGGAGATTAAAGACTATTGAAACAAATGGAAAAAGATAAATTTGATCTTGCTCAGTCATTGACACCTGATGTGCTCATTATTCATATACAAAGAACATTGAGTAGCATTTTGAAGAATCTCAGTTTCATTATCATAAAAGAACTTTGTTGGACTCCAGATTATTGATAAATGTTACTGAATAGATAACAAAAGAAAGCTAAAGAGAATTTTCAATGGTACACCACATAAAAGTAGAAGTGAAAATTATCTTCCAATTGGATAATCCCTATGGAGAATCATTAACTAAAAAACAAACATTCTAATTTAATGATAAATTTAGAATTTGTTAGTTAATCATTGTTTATATTGAAGGATACATTTTCTTCTGGGAAATGATCTCTCTTGATCTGTGATTTTGTTGCATTAACGTCAATTTATTAATACACAGCGTATTATAAGAATTAATTGTTTTTCTATACACATAACAGGCTACAGATAAGTAGCGATAAGATCAGCGATATTTTTCATTATCATTTTGTTATGAAATCGAAACACAATAGAAATCAATGGAAATGAATTCTGAAATCGGCGGTTATAAAATAACGGATGTGACGTCCTGATTTTCGTCACTATTGTTTCTACGACAGATTTGACGACGCGGTTTGACGAGGTGGGTTCGTTAGCCACCAAATCTCTGATGAGCACTGCAATGGTGTTTATCCTATGGATTTTCAAATTGTATAAAGGCTTTAGAAATATAAATGCAAATGGTATTGGAGAGCAATATAACTAACTTTATTTATTTTAATTTGGAGACAGAAATCGTGATTCCATTTTATCCTTCATTTGAATTCGCCGCTCAATTGTAGTGAGATTATTTATCACTAGACCACGACATAACAGGAATTTTTCTAGGGAATTTCATGATTATAGTGTATCGTATTGGTATCAAAATGTACTCCCGCCATATGACCGGTATAATATTTGTATATGTCCGATGCAGAAGTTACAAGTTCTCATGGCTTTATTGGTGATACAGTGTACATAAATAAACGTTTCATTTTGAGTTTTATACAATCTTTTTAAGTGAATCAACATGACAGAAGGTATTTATCATTATATTCTTAATATGACTGTAGAAATGTATGATTATATCAATCAATGTTTAGGTTAACATTTGGCAATTGATATTTTTCAGATAAACTTAACACAGAGGATCTGTGGACTCATTACAAAGAGTTACAGAATCTCATTACCCGTTACATTACCTCACCACCAAGTGCTCATGATCCACAGTATCATGAATTTACTGAAACGCTCCAGAAACATAAACAAAATTTTCTGACACTCCTAAAAAATCCGGTATTTGACTTTGTGTTATTTACAAAATACTTAATTATAATTATATACCTATAATTTTTTATTTCTTTACCAGGGTAAAAATGCTAGGAGTCGAGAAGAGATTCAGAAAGCTGTTACTGAAGCTATCACACTGCCTGGTTTGGGACACCAAATATTGCCTAAGGAACTCGTAGAAGAGACGATCATTTTATCTGACATGTACAATCTCAATGAGTACATGGTGTTGGATTTATTATGTACAGCCCAAGTTCAAATGCCAAATTATCCAGAGCTTACTAGAGGCCTTACTGCAGTACTATTATATTATGATGGCAGAAAGGCACTTACATCCTCCTTGAGAACTCTTGTTCAGGCTAGAGCAGGGCACAGTTGGATGCTGGATACACCAGTTACTTTGACAAAGCATATTACAGAGTACACTAATATAATGCAACAGGAAGGTCTTCTGGACAGAGTAATTAATTTACTTGAAGAAATGGATCCTACGAAGGTATAAAATAATGAGCACTTAATGATTTCACAATTTTGTAATTCTAATGCTCCTTACTCTATATTGTTTAATACATAGGAACAGGATTTACTACAACAAAACAGGGCACTAGGTGGAGCAAAGCATCATCATATGGTGATGAGTCTCTATAATGATACTAGACAGGATCTTGCTGATATCTTGTATCTGTGGTCAGCACAGTCTTCTCTACCACGTAACATAACATTTCGACTATTGAACCTTCTACAGACACGACAACCGGAGGCTGAAACTGGCGATGGTTGTCCTAGCAAAGTTACTATGGCTTTAATAATGGCCATGTTGAATACTATCAACCTAAGTCCTCTGCATAGTCGAGAAGATGGCGAGGAAATAGTAAGAGCTATGCCTCTCATCGCAGAACAGGAAATGCGCGATGAACTTATCCACAAACTAACTGCAGATAACATCTCCTGGGAGAGTTCTGGACTTCGAGGAGTCATACAATTTGCTTTGGCTATTGCTATTACTACCCTAAAATCAGCAACGAATCTTTGCCAAAATACAAACAAGGATGAAGAGCTATTAACTGAAGCTCTGAATAATAATGCCTTCCAGTTCATGGCTAATGTCATCTTCAAATGCGAGTCCCTTCATTATGAAGAATTCTATTTGCGATACTTTCACACTCTCATCTCAGACTTCATTCTTCTGATGCCACTGAAAGTTAAAGAACTGCGGCACCGGGTTGACGAATCTATGAGACAGATACAAGCTTTCCAGCAGCAGAGAATAGATCCTCCTATGAACCTAGACCGTCACTTCGAGTACCTAATGCTCATGGTAGCAGAATTGTACAAACACGATCCACTCAAGTTGAATCTGGCCATGGATTACTGGTGCCAGCACACAGACTCCTCGCACGTGCCTACTTCACTATACTCTGGAAAACTTCCATCTAGACAAGTCGCACTATTTAAGTTCATACGTCTTGCCGGCGAAGTCCTTCCACCGGGACTGTACGTGCCTTACTTAAAAATGTTAGCATCCCTGGCATCTTCAACACCGGCCGCTAGACAAGCTTTTAATTTCCTCAAACCAAACGGATCCAGTTCAATGACACTATCGTGGGATCATTTTTTCTCATCATTACATCAATATTATTTTTATTTGAGGCAAGAATTACCACCGAGTCAGGATACTGTGTATAGACAAAGGAGTCATCCCAAAGGAATAGGACCTGAGGAGGTAAAACGACTGGAAGCCGTTTTACTAGTAGTTCAGGTTGTTGCAAAATATGATGAAATATCCAGGGTGGCTATATGCGACCATCCTGGATGGAAAGTTTTGCCGTCATTAACTGGCTTGATCTGTTGTGCCATGCCAATTCCACTAAAAGGAATCCTGGTACAGACTCTAGCTGCCCTTGCTAAATCACCGGAGAGTTCATCGACCGTCTGGCAAAGTCTTGAAGCTGCACAGATTCTGCCAACGATACCGACGACGAGTAGCTATCAGCCAAGAGGTGTTCAAACGGAATTGGAGGAAATTGAATCCAGGAACGAGGAATATCCCTTGACGAGGGCTATGCTAGAACTTCTAGATGTCCTTACGGATTTTCCAATTCCACGATTACTCGGAGTGGGTCAAAGAAATCCTGGATTCGATCCGTATCTTCAATTCATTATAAACTCAGTCTTCTTGAGATTTAATACACGCTGTTATAAGAATCCTGCTGAGAAGTGGGAAGTTTCTAAAGCTTGTTTGAAGATATTCCTAAAACTAATAAACCAATATGAACCAAACGAGGAGGACTTCAGAGGTTGTAAAATAGAACTTCAGGGTGGCGAATCCACTATGGTTAATCCAACACCAGGTCACCATCTGATGACACAGTTACATTCTAATTCGGAATTGCTCCATGTGATCCTCTACATTCTTGATGAGGGTTGTCATCATTTAGATACGTACGACTCATTCCCTGGTAAGAAGCATTTGGAGAATAGTACGTTGCACTGCCTTGAAATTATTGAACGTGCTCTGGCTATGCAGCACAATTACATGGCACAATTGGCTGCTTCAAATTCAGCTACTAAGATCTTAACTGGACTATCACGTCTCCTTATGGGAGTTAATCCCAGAACTGGAAAACCGGATCACATGATAAATATTGCCAAGTATATTTCTTACAACTCGTGGCTTCGACAGCATGCATATGTAGGAGTTGGCATAATACAAGCTGTCGCAAATGAACCTGGTGCAGATTCTGAATTGCTCTCGACCTTCACCTCTACGTCATCTCTAACCACATCGATACGACATGGTTTTGTGGAGTGTTTGGATGCTGACGATAATTACGAGTACGATGATGATGCTACTGAGGAGCGACAACAAGTTGGAAATTGCAAATTGAGAATACTCTCTTTTATGATGCAAAGTATAACACGACCACCACCGAACATATCACATTACCTCTTAGGATTTGACATCAGCAAGGACATTAGGAAAACAGTAATACAACAACCAGGAATGTTGAATTTTCCCCGCACTTGCCTGCACTCCATCCTCGCTATCTTGGAACTCTCCTTGGAACGTGGACGTGATAAAATCACAGAATCTTGCTATTGGTTTCTTCACATCCTGGCGGCAAATAACAAGACTTCTTCATCAGTTCTGCGGTTCCTAAGGACAGCAACCAACCAGGATTTCGTTCAACGTCACTTGTCTAAATTACCATTTCAGGGTCCTAACAGAGCCACTGAATTGACTTGTATGTCCTGGCTACTGAAAATAGCAGCAATAGAATTGCGAGTTGCTGGGGGAAGTTTGCAGAACTCTTTGGTACAGAGACTAGTAGGTAACTTGGGATTGGAGAGAGATCAGATCGTACCTTCGCAGAAGCTACTCATGGATCTCTTGCACTACATAGACTTTCAACTGGAATTAGATCCTCCCAAATCTTGGGAGTACTTTGATCCATCTCAAGTTGAAATGGTTCTTGGTCGCTGCAGTGTCCCTGTTACTTTGAGTGTTGGACCGCAGCTCATAGATATTCGTCGACTTCACGCTCTTATTACAGAAGAACTGGCTGTTACTCAGACTAGCGCTACGGCAACGCAACGTAAACTGATGCAGCAGGAACTTCAATCCATATTGGCTTATGCACTTAAGAGAAATCAAACGAAAACGCTGTCATATGCCACAGTAAAATTTGTCGAGGGCTGGTGTCAGGCTACAGAGATTCTCTTCTCTGTAGCTACAAATCAACAGTTACCCCCGTCACAAAGGCAAAATCTCCTGCTGAATCTATCTCATGATTTACTCCAGAAGATGACATCCTGCGAGGCACTTAACGAGATCAAGACTCTGGTCTCCGGTACTGTTCTTATACTCCTGGTGAATTTACGCAATAGTTTTGCCATGCAATCTGATGATGAATTATTGCCATCCTCTCCATCAAATACGACCATGATGAAAATCATTCTAAGACACATTTTACAATGGATTTTGAATTCTGGAGCATCATCGCAAACTGTCAGGACGCATCTCTACGGAGCTTTCTTGAACTTCTTGTGTGTGGTGGGATTAGAACGACCGGAAGCTGGGAATTCTATAGATTCCATGTACGTTACTCAACTAGACAGCACCTTCTACAGGGCGCCGACACTCCAGGAACGTTCTCATCGTTATGCAACAATACAAGTAATAAACAGTTTTGGCGATAAACTAATGGATATTCTGTGTCATAATTGTTCTGGTGGCCACGACGTCTGCAAGATGCTGGCACTCTCTTGCTTAGATAAAATACTTGAATTAGACTGTGACAATTCCTGGGTAATCTATATGTCGAGCAGAGGATACCTTAAACATATGATAGACAGTTTATTGGAATCTGATAATCTGTTGCGCTGTATCTTACAACCGGAACCGGATACTCTGAGACCATTATATTTATACGAGGCAAAAATGGCAACGCTTTGTAGAATGGCATCGACAAGACTCGGTGCTGAGACTCTTCTTGAGAACAAAGCGCTCTCATGTATCTCTAGCATGTCTGTATTTGACAAGCATCCCGATGTTCATGTTGGATTTGAAGCTGGTGACGCTTCTCTGATTCCTTCAGTCGGCCAGCGATATCAACAGGTTTTCTTGCCTGCACTTTATATCTGTGATGCTCTGCTTACTACCCTTGGCACAGAAAATCAATCATGTGCCATTCAAGTCTGTGGTTTTTTACACAGCCATAGAGACACAGTTGAAATGGCTCTAAGAAATGCTTCACCACGTTCCAACGTTTACTTCCTTAAGGAAGTAGCCTGCCTCACAGGTGTTATCGCAAGATCTGCTAATATCGGTAAGGATCGTCTCTAGATTACAATACATTCATAGTACTTTCTTTAGTTTTTCATAACGTTTATATCTTTTTCAGATATGTATAAACTCGTGGATGAGGAACTTATAAAGGCGGATTCAAATGTCCATAAGATGGAAGATAGTACAGGAATGAGAGAACTTCGTGCACATCTCTATAGATTGCAAAAACTCATGCTTTCTTTGTTGCCCAAATTTGAACCACAACCTGCGCCTATAACTTTGGCTCACCAGGAATCCGACGAAGGGGAACAACATTCTTGCTCAATACAGATAGCTGCCAATGTGATGCTTTATGCACGCAATCAAATGGAGCACAGCAGAATGGATCAGAAAATCAGGAATAGCCTCTTTGAACCCTACCTGACACCACGGCTTGGAGGTCAAGAAAATAGACCACGTGATACTGGTGGTATTTATCTTGGTGCAGTGGTAGATCAACTAGTGTCTTCGACATCTCTACTGTATTCTGAAATTCCATACATTGACACCCTTATCAAGAACTCAGCTATAGTCAAAGACATGAGCATCATTGATCTCAAAAAGGTATGTCCTCAGTTTATAAAATTTATGGAATGGAATCTTAACTTCTTTTTTTTTTATTTGTTTAAATCTCCAGTACTTGACTGAGGAAGAATTGGAACTCGATATGGTAAAGCAACGTTTGATTGTCGAACGCAGATTAGCACGACGAGCAAAGGATAAACGTAGAGATATAAAATACTGTTCACTGATAGTGGAACACAGTCTATACATTCTATGGAGCCATTTAGATTTTTACACAATGCAGGCAGCCTCGAGATACAACAGGCTACAAGGTAAAACTAGAAGTATTCAAATTCGATCCGATTTCCTGTGATAAATGAATTCGATTTTGGACAATCATTTCATCGTATATATTTGTTCTCCGTAGTGTCTGCTGGAGGAATGGATGACAGTATGGGCGAATGGAGAATATCGGGAGAGGTGTTGTCGGATTTGAAGCAAGGTCTCGTGTCAATGATGAATGATAGCTTTATCACACAACTACTGGATACTTCCAGCGAATACACTACTACTGAACGCAGTTTTTTGGAAGCGTTAGTGAGACGAATTAAAAGATTGTTACAGTTTATTGTCGTGAAATAATTCCGCTTGCTCAAATAATCATTCGATCTGGAATCATTTGATATCGGATCCGAGTAGACGGTTATTTCAATGTTTATAAATAAATTGTTTCATTCAAAACAGTTGCAGTAGAGTTCTATAGAACATGATAAATTGTTTACTTCTCTTTATTATACATTTATACACCATAAGAATAATTTTTAAGATATCACTGCCTCGTCCCAAGGACCATATATATTTTCTTTGAATTTCTGCCACCTTATATACCATAATGGACAGACTATGTGCACAAATATTGTAACGCCCACAAAAACAATACATAATATAGATGATATTTCTACAAGTAGGTATGTAGTACCAACTGCAAGACTTATTGCAATTACTACCTTGTGATCTAGTTGTGATAATAAGAATGGTAATAGTACAAAACACTGTACTGCTACTGTGAGTAGTGAAAATGCATGCAGTGGCGAAGCTAATCGTGAAGCTAACATGAGAGAGCCAAAAATTGAGGATGTTATAGAAAGTGAATCTGAGAGAGACTCTTGGGGAGAGCCATACTTGCTGAAAATCAAATGAACAAAGAACATAAATATTGCCATTGCATAAATTGTATCAGTACTCACTGTATCTGTTAATGTTTTCAATACTGGTGACAGAATATAACCAAATGCAACAAATATCAATACAGTTTGTAAGTCTTTGGATAGTCTATCTGACATATCAGGCATATTGACAGTATAAAGGAAATATCCAACCATTGTAAGAATGCTACTTGACATAAAAATGATGTTCGGTGTAGTCCATTGATTGTTGAGCCATACAAAAACAATTACAAACAGAATAACAACGCTAAGTTGAATTGAAATACTGGCTCCCAGAGTGATAGCTTCCTTAGCAGTAACATTGTTGGGTTTTATATTCTTCCGTAGTTCTTCGAGGAAGGTGTAGTCTGTATAATTATCAGGAAGACCATGATTTTCATAGAGATTTTTTCTCCAAGTAGTTGATTTCATTCTCATGGCGTGACCTATACAAATGTGTTATGTACAAATGTCATGTAAAACAGCAATTTTCTTAAAAAGTGTATATAAAAACAATTGTAGTTTTCTACTAATTAGTGCTAACACGAGCCTCTAATCAGAATTTTGCAAAGAAACGCATTTTGTAATCTATAACCTTGCTATTGCAGTTTTACTTTAATCAAACGTAGTCTACCTCAACGTAGCAACAGTAAACTTATTTAATACCTTTATTAGTTCTATATTAACTGCAATAATTCTTTATATTATTATAGTCTGTGATTCATTGAATTTCCTTCATTTATTTTCTTACTATTCTGTCACATTACGTTTAACCGTTTGACATTTTTCTCGGTTGAGTATTGTTGAGAATCGAAACATATAATTTTTAGCTGACGTTGCCAACTTCTAGTGCATCCAAAACATAACGAGGTATTTATTGTTTGACACTATTGTCACTAAATTCTTTTATACAGCAATGAATCAGCTAGTATCTTATGTTTATTATCGAATCTCAGATTTATAAAATAAACTTGTCTCAAATGACAAAGTACTGCGGCTTTTTTTATGTACATACATTCACAGGTTATATTTGAGTTCTTCTTATCATTGGACAATGTGTATTGGCAGCAATAATCTTACAAAAAAAAGTTTTCTTACAAAGTGCGTCACATTAATTATAAAATAAACAAATCATCAATGTTCTAGTTCCTATAACTGGAGGACAGAATGAAAAAGTTCAAGCGAGCACAGGCTCAAAATCAAGCTTCTATAGTGAGGCATCTAGAAGCTAATAATTTGGTAGAATCCTCCAGTGAAGAAGATGATGATGGAAATGAAGAACTCCTTCAGAAAGCAGTTGGGAAGGTTCTGTCTTCATATCAGTACGAAGGAGGTGATGCTGAAAAAGCACTTTCTTACCTGATAGACACCTTCCAGTCTGGTGGAGCAGTGTGCCTGATTTGCATTTCAACTGTAAAGAAAACAGATGCGGTATGCATTTGAAAAATCCTAATGCTTCAATAAATAACTAATTTAATCTGTATATATGCAGATTTGGAATTGCAGCAAATGTTATTCTTTTATGCATCTGCCTTGCATTCAACATTGGATTCGAGATAGTCTTAGTTATAAACATGAGAAGGGCATCACTCCTCTATGGGCTTGGTAAGTATCTTTATTTATCAGTATATTTGTGTTATTTTTATAATAGATTACATTTATTTACCAGTCCAAAATGTCGAATGGAATATCCTGAAGATGAAGTTCCAACGCATTACGAGTGCTTTTGTAGAAAAACAAGGGATCCATCGTATTTACCTTGGTCAATTCCGCATTCTTGTGGAGAAACATGCAGCAAATTATTACAGCCAAAGTGTGGTCATCGATGTGTCCTTCTTTGTCATCCAGGACCTTGTCCACCATGCCCAAAGATGGTTTCATCAAAGTGTTACTGTGGCAAACAACCAGCACGACCACGGCGATGCAATGTCAAAGAATGGAGCTGTGGAAGCATTTGCGGCAAGAAACTAAAATGCACTCAACATAATTGTCGAATAGAATGTCATGCCAATGAGTGTCCCCCATGTTCAGAAACAATTTTGGTTGCCTGTCACTGTGGTAACAAGACGGAGGCTCGAAAATGCAATGAGGCTTGCTGGACTTGTGATAAACCGTGCGGTAACCGTCTGTCCTGCAATGTACACGTGTGCCAAGGTGTTTGTCATCGTCCGGATGACTGTGGCGAATGTCCCACTGAACGAAACAGAAGCTGCCCTTGTGGCAAAACACGGTACATGATTTCTTGCAAGCAGGAACAAGTACCAACATGCGGTGACACTTGCGGCAAACTTCTTGATTGCGGATCGCACTATTGCAACATGCGATGCCATACCGAGCATTGTGGTCAGTGTCTAGAAGTGGTAATGAAGACTTGTCGTTGCGGTGCTTATAAGAAGGAACTCGCCTGCGCAAAGACTTTTCACTGTGACACCAAGTGCAAGCAGATGCGTCTCTGTGGAAGACATCCGTGCAACAAGAAATGCTGCGACTGCCTAATAAAGAACAACTTTAATGCATGCGAGAAAATCTGTGATCGCACTTTGAATTGCAGGAAGCATAAATGCGCAGCTCCTTGTCACAGTGGACCCTGTTATCCATGCCCAAGGACGGATGTAATACAGTGTCGTTGTGGAAAAAGCAAGATCACCGTTCCTTGTGGTACTGCAAAGAAGATTAAACCACCTAATTGCAATAAGCTCTGCAAGATCCCACCGATTTGTCATCACCCAAAAAGGGAGTCGCACAAGTGCCACCAGGGTGCCTGTCCACCGTGTCGCAAAGTTTGTGGACTCACGCATAAGAAATGTGGCCATACATGTCCAGCGATTTGCCATGCGAAAGTTTGGGTCAAGATCAAAGTCAATGGTGTGAATAGCCAGCCCGCAGGACCCTGGGAAAGACCTCAAGAAAAGATGCAATTGAAGACACTACTGTGTCCGCCGTGCGAGGTTTCTGTGATGGTGACCTGCTTGGGAGGTCATGAGACAAAACCCTGGCCATGTCATATGGCAGGACCCACTTCTTGTTTAAGACCGTGTGGACAACTGCTGACCTGTACGAATCATCACTGCGAACAACTTTGTCATAAGTTACGATCATCCGGTGATAGTGGAGAAGATGCGGATTGTGAGGATTGCGAACGAGAATGCGCTTTCCCCAGACCTAAGGGTTGTAATCATCCTTGCAAAAAACGATGTCATCCTGCACCTTGTGACGATTGCAAGCAGCTTGTCAAAGTATCTTGTCATTGTGGAATTAACTCACTATACAAACGATGTTTTGAATTGACTTCTGCGACTCCAGAACAAAAGAACGAGATGCTCAAATGTGGAAATCAATGCCCTCGAATTGTAAGTAAAATTTAAAGGTTTGAGATTATAGATGAACGACGTTTTCAATTTTAATCAGTGTAAGGTATTAAGTTTACCTTCCTATATTTCTAAATATATTTTCTTTCAGTATCCATGTGGTCATCGTTGCATCGACAATTGTCACCCTGGAGAGTGCCAAGGTGCCAGTGGATGCAATAAAAAGGTGAAATTACACTGCAAGTGTAAGCGAATTAAAAAGGACTTCTCTTGTGCATTAGTGCGAATCAATAAGGCGTTTGTCGATTGCGACAACGTCTGTCAGGAGAAGAAAGAAGAACGCAGAAGAGCCCATGAATTAGAGATGGAGAAAAAACGTAAGGAAGATGAAATTAAAAACCAAAAAGAGATTGAGCAGTTTGAAAGGAAATTTATTAAGTCAAAACGAAAGGGAAAAGACAAAGTCCCAATGGAAGTCTTAAAGAAGAATGCAAGTGGACGCATGTGGACGAATATTTTCCAAATAGTCACAGTAATAATATTAGTAGCTGGTCTGACAATATATGCAACAATAACCGATTAGAGTGTTTTGTGAACGTTAAGGAATTTTATTTAGTGACATTTCCTATAAATAACTCATAGTATGATTATTTGTGATTCTTCTTCAGACTGTATTGTATAAGCGTCAATGTTCAATGAAACATTAATATTATATGTGCTTCCTTTTAAAGATTCTCTTTTTTTATGTAAAAAAAGCTGCGGTATGCAGTAAATTCCTTGTGCTTCTGTAGTAGGAAAGATTAGTTTTTCTTGACTTTTTTTGTCGTTATAGATTCTTGATCGCTTTTCCCATTAGACAAGAGGAAAGCGTTTACAAATACACCGAATGCCACAATACAAATTGTTAAATTTACTACAATATACTCGACGCGATTTTTCAATTCAGTTCCACATGCGGTGTACCAATGGGAAAAAGGTTTTGGCGCTTTACCACCTGGTAGACAATCCCATCCAAAGTAGGTTTCATCATTATCCTCCAAACACAAATACCTTCTTTTATAAAGTGTTTGTCCAAGTGCAGATGTAATCGGTACCATTTCGTCGCAAGGTCCAATCTGCTCATGTAATCCAATAGAAACTTCTTTGGATGGATCTCCAATGAGGGCCATAGCTAAAATAATAGAGTACAAACACTAGAAAGATATTTCTGGTATTATTTCATCATCAAAAGATAATTTATCAATAAAGTAATTTATATTTAGTTACCTAAGAAAACAGAATAGTACACCATCAAGTATGGAAGAAAGAGACAATCAGCTTTACTTTTGAAAGTAATGGTTGGTCTAGAAGCTCTTTCGCCGCTCCAAGCTAGAACTAGGAAAACAGCGAAGAGCAAAAAGAAACAGACTTCTGTATGGACATTGAAGTTGTCATGAAGTGGATGATAAATTGGCAGAAATAATAAAACTCCACCAGGCATTCCCAATAACGATGAAAGCACAGTGCATAATGTTTCCTTCAAGAATCTATTAAGAATATCTTAAGTAAATAGTTTTACACTTACAGTTTATTTAAAAAGAAAAGATTCCTTTCACTTACGATTTGTCAGATGTCCATTTATTTGAACTTTTAGTAAACAATTTTCGAGTACCATGAAACCAAAACGTAAAACTGGCAGCAAAGGTAGCATGGAAATAATAGGAATTCCATGGAACATGATAATGTCTATCCCTAATGCTTGGATCTGTATCATGCCACGACCAGTGCAAAAATCTTACTGACGTTACATCGTATGGAATATCTATTAATACTACTATCAATCCAACAGCAAACGGTTCGCTCCATAATGGTAATTTGAATCTCTTAGCGGTATTGGATGCCGTGTAGAGAAAAACAGAATCTAAGATAAAAGAAATTCTCAAATAATCTATGCAAGGAAATTTTTTAATTATAAAAGAAAGTGGGACGTACACAGAAATATTATATGCAGTGGAAGACGCCGTCCTAGTAATATTATAGGCGTTTGGGAATGCCAGAAGTTATCAATATCTGGTAAATTGTAACTGATAGCTTCTACTACAAGCCCATGAAGTATAACACCAATCCAAAGATGCATAAAACGTCCACCATTTTTTAAAGCTGTTCAAATAATATTGGAGCATTTCATAGGTTCGAAACATACTGTTGCGATATCGTAGAATTGATATTACCGTGTATGAACGTGATAAGACCACCTATCAAGAATAACACCTGCACAATGATATAAGTCGGCTGTGCTTGCCACATTAATTCTACATTAGTGAAATGAATCAACCAGTCCCAGAACTAGAATGAAAAATTGGTAAACGGAGAAACTGAAAATCACGGCTTATAATATTTTACTTCAAGAAATGTGATAGTTATACTTATTTATACAGATACAGCTTCTTTTACTTACACCTTTGAATTTTAAACTTTCGGCTTCTACTCCAAAGTCTGGCAGACTCTTTAGATCCATTGTTAAAACTTCGAAAGAGATAAGTTGTCCAGTATGCCTTGCCTTTATAATGCAGAAGAAATTGATAATGGTTTTATAAAATACTGTACTGCCAGCCTGTATATAGTTTCATTTGTTGGTTTATCTCGTGTTATCAAATATCAAATCCCACACCATTACTGAACTTGCTATAAGCGTTTTCAATCGTTTTGATAAGCTGCACGAAAATAAGATAGGAATATTATAACGTTCACTGTAAGACATATATACTGTAGCATGGCTGCACGTATTGGCTGGGATGGTCGAGGTTTGACTCTTTGGTTTCTAAACAATGAATACAGAGCATGGTATTAATATTTTTATAATTTCAAGGTTTAGGATTATGTTTGTGAACTTTCTACTGACGTGCAAGAAATAATTTCTAATGGGCTCAATGCTTGAGGACGTGTTCTCATTAATAACAAACAAGCTGATATATTGCCAGACTCCAATGCACCATCCACAGTGCCTGGCCAGGTTGGTGCATACTCGCTGGATGCAAAGAATATCCTGAAAATATTTTTGATCAATAGGCAAAAAATTATTAATTTCGTATCATATTTCACCTTCCCCAAGGTGTGAACATTGGATTGATATGATGGTTAATGTTGTCAGGCTTTGGAACGTTCATTGAGTTTCCTTGGGTTTCTTTGTAGTCTATATAATTTCTTGACTGACTTGATTTAAAACATGCATTCAATACATCAAATAAGTCTATTGATGCTCTTGACGTCTGATTCGATTCTGATATAAATCCTGCAATTACTGATTCCCTTTTACTCCATGAACTAGCATCATATGCAATGCGTAACTTTGTCTTTGAATTCCAAGTGGAAATAATGTCTCCAGAAAATTGTGTATGCCAGAAAGGAGTTTTATATGTAGCATTAAAAAATATGGTCTTGCTGCACTGGAATAAATTCTGGCAATGTATGAGATTTATTGGTGGCTCTGGTTGAATCTGGATAAGCACACTTTCCTGTGGTGGTACAGCGATTATCACGTGATTACATCTAATAGGAAATGATTAAATTGTTTTAGATCATTAAAATACAGAAATTTTATATTTAATAATTGCCTGTAAGTTCGTATATCAGTTGTTACGTAAACTCTATCATTGTTAAATTGTATTGTGTTAACTTGCTCTTTGCAATGCATTTCACCGTTCTCATCTTCTATTCTTCTTACTAATTCTTCGGCTATGCTCATCATACCGTTCTAAGGACAATTTTATAATTTCAGTTTAAAATATATTTTATAGAACATTATAAGTGTTAATGTATTTAAGATAGAAAGGTTTTGCATTCATGTAGTTTAGTTAATAATATTTTAGTTACTTTAACAAAATAACGATGTTCATCACCAAGTACTATTTTTAATCTGGTCAGTAAACCATTTGCTCCATGTAACATTACCAAAACCCATAAAGCAGAAATGTAATGTGTATCATTAATACCTAAAGTGTATAAGTAATAATAAATCTTAAACATTTTCTTAATATAATTATTTTCAGTACCACAAACTAAAGATATGAAAGTTCTGCAGATTGAACGGGATTGTGGTAAAAATACAAGGCGACATATTAATTGATCTATACTGATCCTAGATAGATCTTCAGCTTCCTCATGGGCGGAATATATTTTAAACTTTGGATCCATGCTATTTGAATTAATCTATAGCCAAAAATAATACAAATTAGTAAAGTAAAATTTTAATTCTATGGTACAGTACCGCTTTAAGAAAGTAATGAATTTCTCCAGCAATGTAGGATGGCAATTTATTTTCTAATGGACCATTTTTGGTGAACAATACTTTTTGCTTTTCTCCAATATCAATTTTAAATTCTTTTGGTATATCAAATGTATCCAACATATGAGTGATATTTTTTTGGAGTGAGTGACCATAGTAAAATTTGCTTTCTGTTTGAGATATAATCCTTCCTCCGATAGCATCTATTAAAAGAGATATTATGAAGTAGATATTTATTATATGGGTAATAAACTAACTATTTCTCTCAAGGATTAAAACATCTAATCCAACATGTCTCTCTAAAATATTATAAGCGGCAGTGAGTCCAGTCAATCCTCCACCAACAACAATAATATCAAAATCATTCTCATCCTCACTGTCAAAAAGATTATCAAAATGAGCCATTGAGAACAAAATGAATGAAACTGATCGGTCAAAGAAGTGACTATCTTCTGAAAGTCAAAAAGTGAAAATCAAATTTTACTTATTATTTAAAGATGCTTTAATTAAATAAAAAACTAATTGTGGAGCAATTGGGAGCAAATCGGGAGCAATTAATTCATCAAGAAACTCATGAAAATCTGCTCGGTTATTTGGAATTTCAATAAAAATAAAAATTTTCTGTTTTAATGAATATTTATTAATCACTGCATAGTAGCAGTGGAGCAATTATGGAAACATATGGAGCATTTAAGGAGCAATTTTTTAAGCATTATAAATATACAAATTTTGATTTTCCCGCGCTAACTTTCCGACGGCTATCTTCTGGATTCAGTTTTATCTTATTAGAACTGATTCTTCAAACAAATGGTAATACATTTTTAGGGAAACTGCAACAAGTATAAAATCCTACGAATAATAAGCTCAAAAAAACGGTACCAATATTTAGGACCAATTGCTAGAAGAAGATTTGGGGCGCTAAGGTAGTGACAACGAATAGGCATGAGCACGGTCTTGTATACAGGTTGGGCACTTCCACATCCTCACCACGTTGTAGTTGGTTGTAGCTTGTAACCATAATGCGGCCGGTTTTGCCCGCAAGCGTTAGTGTTGAAGAAGCCTGCTGACACAGCGCATGCGCATCCGTAAATTCACTGCAACTTCTTATCTCCGATTCAAAAGAAAAGTTATTTACCACAAAAAACCGATGCGATGCCAATTAAATAAAATTTTGATAAGTTAGACAAATAAAGAATTGATGATTAAAAACGCTAAAGTTAAATGGACCAATTCACCTAAAAGTCAAGAAAAATAAAACAGTCAATTTTTGCTTGTGTCGTAACTTTTTTACTGAATTTATTTGTAACTCCTGTGAGATTTTCAAATACAAATTTCTATCATTGTGATTCAAGCAGGCACGATGCACTTTCTGGTGATTGAGGCTTTTTTCAATTGCAATCGCGGTATATTACACATTACAACGCAGAGCTGCAGGTTACGTATTCAAGAAAGAGATAACTGCGCACGCGTAGTGCTAGCACGTTATAAGCTCTTTCAACACTGACACCTCTTGCGGTAATGGCCATCTTATTGTCACAGGTTTTTTGCCTAATGCCCAGACCTGTATACAAGACCGTGGGCATGAGTCATTTAGATAGGTTATGGTTGAAAGTGAAAGAAAAAGCCGGGTGATTGCGCATGCGTACAAACAGGATCCTCCGATACTAGCGCCTCAAATTCCAAAGTAAAATCCGGAATCCCAAGCGGCACGTCCATTTTTAGCTGAGTGCTCAGACCTGTATATAAGATTATGTCTTTAGATATATTTTTATTAATATAAAAGTCTCACCTTAATCTCAGAAAAGGTGGAAACATGTTGGTTCTATTCGAGACCCCTGCGGGGTACGCTATTTTCAAGGTAAGTTGTCTCTGTTTTTAACTTGTTGACAAACATAACGTAAATGCTTCTGAACACGTGTTCGGCACTTTAGAGTATGTATTGTATAAAACGAATGCATCCATAAATAAATGTACTGATATTAAAATATGTATTTCTTTTTCTAGTTACTTGATGAAAATAAATTAAGTAAAACAGATAATCTCTACCATGATTTTGAAACCCCAGAAGCTGCCAGCAAAATGTAAGCATTCTCTAAAATGTGTACAATTATACTAAAAACAATTTCACACAATGTATGTCTAATATATCATATTTGTTTTTTGTTTTGTGATACAGAGTCAAGCTTAAACATTTTGAGAAGTTTGCGGATACTACAGAAGCATTGGCAGCTACTACTGCTGCTGTAGAAGGAAAGCTCTGTAAGTCCCTAAAGAAGATGCTTAAAAAGCATTGTGCAGAGGTCCAAGAACAATTAGCTGTTGCTGATTCTAAATTGGGAAATGCTATAAAAGATAAATTAAGTCTTTCTTGTGTTAGTAACACAGCTATTCAAGAATTGATGCGATGTATTCGCAGTCAAATGGACAGCTTGCTTGCTAGTTTTCCTAAAAAGGAAATGACGGCAATGGCTCTTGGTCTGGCTCACAGTCTTTCACGGTACAAACTTAAGTTTTCCCCTGACAAAATAGACACTATGATCATACAGGCTGTCTGTCTACTTGACGATCTTGACAAGGAGTTAAATAATTATGTAATGCGTTGCCGTGAGTGGTACGGATGGCATTTTCCAGAGCTCGGTAAACTCATAACCGATAACATCGCATTTGTCAAGACCGTGAAAGTTATTGGAACACGAGAGAATACCTCCAGTTCGGATTTATCAGATATTTTACCAGAGGAAGTGGAAGAGCAGGTCAAAGAAGCAGCAGAGATTTCAATGGGAACAGAAATCTCTGATGACGATATACTAAATATTCAGCATCTCTGCGATCAGGTAATAGAGATTTCTCAATACAGAGCACAACTCTATGATTATCTGAAGACTAGAATGATGGCTATGGCTCCCAACCTGACAGTCCTCGTCGGTGAGTTAGTTGGTGCCAGATTGATATCCCATGCTGGCTCCCTAATAAATCTAGCAAAACATCCGGCATCCACAGTTCAAATTCTCGGAGCCGAGAAAGCTTTATTCCGTGCATTGAAAACGAAACGTGACACTCCAAAATACGGTTTGATTTATCACGCTCAACTTGTTGGACAAGCCTCTACAAAGAACAAAGGAAAAATGTCAAGAATGCTGGCAGCCAAGGCTTCCCTGGCTACGAGAGTCGATGCCCTGGGAGAAGACAGTACATTCGACCTAGGTATTGAACACAAAGCTAAATTAGAGGCAAGACTAAGAGTCCTCGAAGATGGCAATCTACGCAAAATTAGTGGAACAGGCAAAGCCAAGGCAAAGTTTGAGAAATATCACTCAAGCAGCGAATACATGGAGTATCCAGCAGCTGCAGACTCAACACTGGCAACCAAGAGAAAATACTCACAAAGCGAAGACAAGAAGCCATTAATTGAAGAGATTACGCCATCTGAAAGTAATGAAGAAGTTCCCAAGAAGAAAAAGAAGAAGAAGGAAACTGGGGAAGAGCAACTGGAGGCGGAGGTCAAAGAGGAAGTTCCTGATGCAAGCGAAACAACAACCCCGAAAAAGAAGAAGAAGAAGAAGCATGACGCTGCTGTGCAGGAAACTGAAACATCAGCCAGTGTGAAACAGGAATCCGAAGTATCGGTGAAGGCTGAACAGGAAGCTGAAGCAGAAGTCAAAGGTAGGAAGATTAAAACGCGCATCCATTTTAACATGCTATCCTAACATCTATATATAGACTACATTAATGATGTCTATTATGTTTCAGTGGAGGGAAAGAAGAAGAAGAAAAAGAAAGAAAAGTCTCAAGAGGAAGTAAAAGAGCAAGTAGTAGAGGAACCAATTGAAGCACCGGTCAGCGAAAAGAAGAAGAAAAAGAAAAAGAAATCGCAATCTGATGATTGAATACATGATCTTTCCATGAATTTATATCAATTCAAAATATACTATACTATATTTTATATATCATCGGTATATATGCACACAACTTTCGGACAGTACCTTGTATAGCTGTTATGATCATTATTATCAGTGGTATTATTATTGTTAGGGCTATAGAGATCAAACCAAGGTGATACTTCAGTTTAGACTACGCTGCTGCTATGCAGTAGTGGAGGAGACATTCCCCACTACGACTAGTCTGCCTGTCCCCAATAAAAATGCAGTTGCTGCTGGTATTTAATCTCCATCAAAGTATAATAACGATAAAGTACAAGGAAGAAGAAAATGTAATCATCCGATTGTCAACCGTTTACGATTTACTATTGGCATAGTCTCAAATGAAATAGTCTTGTTTTAATCAAGAAGCTCCAATAATAATAACAATCTCTTAACGTAGTGGATCAGCAGACATACAATTTGTCACTTTGCGTTACACGCATAAGTCTAACTGTATATAGCGTACAGATCTAATGCATCGTGAAATATAGGAGTCTGCCAGTTTTTTCATTCAGTTCTTATATATGAAAATATGTCACAACATAATTTGACGTCGACAAAATCTTTTGCATCGTTATTCTTTTTGTTTCTTATTTTACCAAAATATTAGTCTTGCATTTTTAATCTAACTAAAAAGATGCTAAAAATTGCCCGTAGTGCTCTGACAGGTGAAAAATTACATACATACATTATTTTTCGAACATTATTCTCTTAGTAATAAAATTCGTTAATCCAGATTCGAGTTCATCTACCTTCTTTACCAAACTAGAAATACGAAAATATCGATATTTTAACTAAATTGTAAATAATAGACAATAACGATACTACAATTTTCCGCATTTTTTATATCATCACATAGAATATTTATGTGTTAGAGCTGACTGAACATCATCACCAACATTACCTTTTTTTTTCTCAACGCGTTTATTACGTATTTCACGATTTTTTATTATTGAGACATTTTATATTGTCTCCTCGCATGGTATATGCATGCACCTTAAACAAGGTGTATTTATCAATTGTTTTGAATCGAGAAATGTATCTATTTAAAAAAAAAATGTTTGACAATACTATAAGAATTTAATTTTCCTCGCGTATCATCCTTTATAAACTTTTCAATATTTTGAGGCATTGCCATGATTTTGTAATATAATTTATACGGATTTTTCTTAAGAATTCGGAAATATTTATGTAACTTTGAAGCACACGGTTTTAATGCTACTGTCAAAAATTGTTGAACACTCAATAATCTCTTGAAAAATGGGTTGAATTGTATCTAGGAACTAAAAAGTATATTCACCGAGAATTTTTACATCAACAATGACTATCAGAAAATAAATGAACATCCTTTAATTTTATATTATATCATGCTAAATGGTATTAAAGAAAAGTAGTTGCATAGCACAATCAAATATGGCTGTATGATTGATTTATTATAATTCTATAATATATTAAGACAGTTGAAATTCATATAAAATGTTTATTGGTAGAACGCATCACGCTAGATTATTGAATACGACCATAGATTTATCATATTAAATTTATAGTCTGTCAATCACAACACTCACGCAGACTCTATACGGTGCACTTTACTACGTTATATTAAATAATTTTTTAGGAATCGAAGAGCACTGGGTGCCAAAAAGAAATTAGAAAAAAAATGAAACAAAAATAATATATAAAAGATTTAAATAATGGGGACTTAGCAAAAAGATGTAGCACGGAATAAGAAACGAAAAATTCGCAACTCATCAAGCTCTTCCTTTATTGTTCCAAAAAACGCGTGATATTTCTTTCATTTTGTTGTTGTTATTATTAATTTTACCACTACTCGACGATTTTACTGAAAGCCGTCGTGACGTCACGTGCCAAACCCGTTGGTGTCGCTAATCCGTCACGGGGTGACATAAATGAATTTCTCTGGTTCATGGGAAGCGACGTTAAAAAAAAAAGAAGACGAGGGGATGTAGTTGCAAAAAAATATAGGATTGCACAATAGACTAATGTGATTTTACAACGCACCGTTTTTTGCTTCTTCTCCTCAAGCACGCGGTCAGCAGACGCAACATTCTTCCCAAAAAAAAGGCTATTCATAATAAATGCACTCACGCCCTCTTAATCATTATATCTCGATAATTAATTAATGATAGTGATACGAAACGGTTCGACATGCGTGCAGCCCAATTCGGTGTCCACTAGTGTAGAGTATAAGAGAAACATTTTAGAGTATACATAGTAATTTCTAATGAGACTGTATATATATATGTGTGTTTGTGTGTGTATATATATATATATATATATTGTGTGAGATCATAAAACAAAAGAATTTTGATCCCACATAGTAAATTAGACACGCATGTGACTATTGTTTTTTTTTTAATCGTTCTTAACATATAGTATAGCTCTATGAATCCCCGTTCTTCTGTCTGTATCGCCACGCACATTTACCGTATGCACGTTACGGTAAATAATAGATAATTGTAATATATATATATATATTAGTTCTTTATATAAATTAGTAAATTCACTCCATTCGTAATTCATGGTCGCAGCTTACAATTTGTACAAAAATGACTGACTTTAAGTGGATCCTTAGTTTTTAGTGTATCGTTGCGATCAGTTTTCCTTGAGGATTTTCTTCATTGTCACCTTGTTTAGCAGATCGTCAAACAAGGCTACGGAGCGACAATCCGAATACATAATATATATATATATGCTCATATATTATTTATAATTTCGACGTTCATTTAACTTTAAAATTTTTTTTGTTTTATTTCACGGCTCGCTCGGTGAAGAATATAGTTTAGACAGCCTTTTTCGTATTTCTCATCCGAACATCTACTTATAAAAGTTTTCTCTCTTATAAAAGGTTCTGACTTGTCAGCCTGCAAAATACCCGAGCAGACATAGCACAGCATTCTACAGAAAAAAAATGGATAGACTTAAAGTTACAATCATCTTTTTTTTCTCTTCCGTACCTTGATATTATTTATTACTCTTCTCGGAATCGCATCTTGACCTTCGTTATCGCAAGAAGAAAAACTAAATTCCAACACCCTCAATAATTTTCATTACGCAAGTTCCCGTCTAAGGATATTGACCTATGGTTGAGCTACTCCGATGCATAATGTATTGGAGTAGGGACGACATATTGCACACAAGGCTCGACAGTAATTGCAGGCCGAACATCTCGCATCTTAGTATTAATATTCCCTTTTCTCTTTATGTCTTACACGGCATGTACCTTTATATAGTAATTTACAGGCCGAGGCATATTTTCTTTCTTATGACTAAATGTATATGCGTATATACATATATTCGCTTTACGCATACAAAGAAAAGGAAGTAGAGTTTTTCTCCAAAATTCCCAATTTTTGTGGAGCACAATACGATAATTGTTGTACACTCGGAGGTATCAATATGTACATTACATAAGACATTAGTTTATTTTTCTTTTCTCTCTGTCTGTTTATCCCTGTAGACGGTTTACCGGATACTGGTAAAGAGATTTAGTACGGATTTATTCTCCTTCTGGCTACGTGCTTTGGAGAAGACGTTCCAGAAGCGTAACGTTTCGTCACCAGCTCCAGTTACTATTGCTTCGCCGTCCGGAGACATTGCTAAGTACAGTACCCGGTAGGAATGTCCAGTTAATTTCGCCACCTGAGTCAGGCTTGGATACTTCCAGACGAGGATCTGATTTTGGGAGTAGCCGTGGGTGCTTACCAATTCCGAACTATGTTTACTCCAGGCTAGATTACACACCTGAGAGCCTGTATCGACGCACTGCATAGGTTGGCCAGTGAGGGTGTTCCAGAATCTTATACAACGGTCTGCAGTACCTCCTCCAGAGGCTAAGAGACCATGGTGATGTGGAGACCATGCAATGGCTTTAACAGCTGCCAAATGTTCTGTGTAAGTTTGAACTGGAGACAATGAGTGCAGATTCCATACATAGAGCCTGTTGTCGTTTCCTCCTGAAGCCAGGTACTGATTGTCTGGTGACCATTTCAGGCCACACACTTCCTGCCTGTGAGCTCCTAATCGACGTTCACCAACTACACTTGGAGTCCTTACATCTCTTTGAAGTATCAATCTGTCCCGACTACCCGAAGAGAGTACTTCTCCATTCCAGGCAAGCGCACCAACTCTTGCACTATGCCCCTGTAGTTTGCTAACTTGTTTATTCACAGCAACATCCCAGACTTGTATGTATCCCAAATGAGTACCCACTGCCACCAAGTTCCCTCTTTCATTCCACGCAACAGAGGTAACACTATTTCCATCAGCTGACAAGTCACATAATCTGGTTACTTGACTGGTACATGCTGACCATAGGTAGACACAGCTACCTAATCCCACGCTGAGCACATTCTGTGATGACCAATCTACTAAATTGAGATAAAAGTCATCCTGTAGTTCCGGTGCATCCAATACTTTAAAGGGAATTCTAGATATCTTCCTGGTAGCTTTTCTTGGTGAACGAAGTAACTTCTGACTCTTGGCACTCAAAGGTGATAAAGAATAAGGAGAACTTTGATCAAGGAGGGTACGATCTTTAGTAGGTGTAGTGTACTTGAATAGATTTTTACTGGCTAATGGTGATAGCACTCTACGTTCTTCGCATTGTCCTTTAACATCTTCTATACTGGCTCCAAGTAGTTCATTCTTCAGTAAACAGGAATATGCTATTCCATCCCGACTACTCTCTCCATTTTCACGAGTTTTCTTAACGACCAGACCACCTCGTCCGCCCTCAGAAATCATGGAAAAAGTGGTCAGCCAGTTGTTCCCCGACCGTGTAGGAATAAACCGATCAAAGCTGTTGTTGCTCATTTTGTTAGGTGAATAATAGGAGGCCGTGATCCCGGGATTAGCAGCCCCCATGCTGTTATTTGAATCGACCTGACCTTCATTATTTGGTTTAAGAAGTCGCTTCTCATATTCGTGATGAAACATTTTCGTCCTCACCGTATCCGTGCTTCCAGTTACGTCCTCGTTGGCTCCAAGTCGTTCTATAGTTTTTTGGATCTGCTGTGTCCACCCTAATCCCTTTTCCTCCTTTAGAGTTTATACCACTCGCATTCTGGTCCTGGTCCTTGGCTCACTCGACGAGCCAAATAAATTCCGGAGTCTGCGTCGCCATTCGATGTCAACTTGAGTCTTTTACTGAATTTTCGAACTAGAGGAACTTTAATTTAATACCTTCACCATAAACGGCTGGACAGAGAGATTCTTAGATCCGTGAACACCGTGAATGCGTCCCTTTTGGATGCACGGAATTATCGTTGCACTGCCGATTATAGTCCTACACCCTTTAACTGCTCCTCCACGTTACTTCTTCGTCCTACTCGCTGTGGACAAACCACACTAGAATCTCACCGAGTCGCCACTCATTCAATACTCCATACACTACATCTTTTTTTTTACTAGCGTAGCATGTGTGTGAGGCTCAGCGCGTGTAATATTCCCAACCAAATTGATAAAGCGTAGCAGACTGCTTTGTTGCTGTTGTTGGCACATGCGTACGCGGTTCTAATTCGTTCTAACACCGAAGCTAGCTTTAAGCTTGCGCGGGGTGCGTCTTGCATTATGAACATGCCCTAAGTTACTACGTATTTCGAAATTAGTATATGTGGCGTATCTATGGACTAAGCATTATATGGCTGATCTCGCTCGCAGGGGTTCCGGGACTCCGTTCGAAACGACAATGTAAGAATCCTGACTGAATCCAATTTGACATGTTCGCGGTTGAGTTATGAAAATTTATTATTTGATTGTCTGCTTGGAAGCGAATGTTTTTCTTGTAAAATAACTGCTTGTAATTACTGTGACTAACTACCCAACATATGTAAGAAAGATTGATGCCCTTCTTTCAAGTCATTATCACTTCTCTCATGACGCTTGGTATTTTTGTAACATTGATTGGATTGTCTTCTTTCCTGTGTTATTAAAATAAAACGTTTGACGTATATAAAGGAGAGGGTTATTTAGAGCAACTTGATTAAATACTGTACAAGATAAACTTTGTATCACTTTGACTGTTTCCCTTTTGCTGTAAGTTGATACTTTAGTTATACTGTTTTTCTTGAGAAGGGTACCAGGCACAGGGATGTGGCCAAATTACTCTTGAGGAAACGAGCCAAGGGTGTGATGTGTCCACTAGGTAACATCGCCTCATGGCTGACATGCATTATACCTCTATGTCCCGTGACCTGTCCACCGAATCCGTCTCTACTCTTCGAATATCTGAGGTATATTTTTTAATATTATAACAAAATTGTATGTAATTTGTGTTTTGAGAGTGGACTTTTTACTATTATCATCTGTTGCATGCTACTAAAGTATGGACCTTTGGATTGTCGTGAGAAGTCTTTTCCTAGTGACAGTAGCTCACCAAGTGGACCTTTACTATCTGGGGAGCTGAGCCATGAAAAACCCCACAGAGACAAAAAGGATCACAGGGATAGGTCAAAGGCATACAGAAAATATTCAGAATTAACTCCACCTGCAGTACATAGCTGTTACGACAATTATGGGTTTGTTTATAAAGTTAACAATGCTTGTCATTTTCTGAGATTTCTTTGCAGAGACTAACAAGCTTTTCTTGGTAATGAGGTGCAGGACGATTCTGGTATTTTTATGCTAATTCTGTTTTACAGAAGTTCAGTGGCGTGTAAATCAAATTCACTACCTGGTAGGTGTAACAGCAATTCACCCGCAACGAATTCCACAGTTGCAACAAATATACAAGCGGAGGATTTGGCAATGCAGCTAACACTCTTGGATCTTGGGGCATTCAGATCCATCAGACCCGAGGAATTGTCTAGTTGTTCCTGGAATAAAAAGAATAAGCTCTTAGTAGCGCCAAATGTTGTGTGCTTCACCAGAAGATTCAATCATGTTAGTTTAGAGTTCAAAATCAGTAACTAGCTGGCAATCAGACTTTAAGTTTTAACGTCATGTTATATTCCAGGTAAGTTTTTGGACAGTTCAAGAAATTCTTAATGCTCCAACGGCAAAACAACGGGCAGAGATTCTAGCACACTTTATACGTATCGCTAAGAAGCTCTATGACTTGAATAATCTTCACTCACTGTTTGCTGTAATATCTGGTATGCAGAGTGCTTCGATATACAGGTAAAAATTTGAGACTACATTTCCTTAAGTCATACTTATTCTATTACTAAAAAAAATTATGCATCCTTTGCCGTTACTTGGAATTATTTTAGGCTTAACAAGACGTGGTCATGTTTATCAAGAAAGGACAAGGCTTCTTTTGACAAGCTGGCCGAGGTGTTCAGTGACAAAAACAATTGGATGAATTTACGAGAGCACATGGACTCTTTGAAGCTGCCCTGCATTCCCTACCTGGGCTTATTCCTCACTGACCTTGTATACATCGACATGGCTCCCCCTGTTAATAAGGTAAAATAAATAAAGTTTCACTTTTTATGATTATCCTTATCACATGAATCATTGACTTCAGAATAATGACAATCACCAAAGGACCTTAAAGATGAATAGCGTTCTCACTAGAGTAGCAATGTTCCAAACAAGCGAGTATCCCGGTATAGTTCCTCTGCCGGATGTTCAGCGATATCTGAACAGTGTACGATATATTGAAGAACTTCAGAAGTTCCTCGAGGATGATCATTTTAAGTAAGTATCAATATACATTAGACACATGAATTTAATGATAATGTACAATTTTGCTTTTATCTGTGCAGATTGTCCATGAAATTGGAACCAAACTCTCCAGTAGCATCTTCGAGTAGCAGCAAGGAATCCGTTGGCGACGTCGCTTCTGGTGTAGCAGCACTGTCGTTGTCTCCAGCCAGAGGATGTGCGGGATCCTTAAGGCTGCATGCAGCATCTGCAGCCAACAAATTCGTGCCAAGTCATCGAAAGTGCAGAAGTCTCGGTACAAAGTGAGTGTTAAATCTCATAATTGCACTTTTCCAGATATTTCTCGTTTGATCTTTGTTCCGGGCGTAGGCTCATTATGCAAACCTATGGGATCTTTGGGGTCCAACTCATCATTCCTTAACAATTAGAACTCTCTTCATAATTGATTTGTCAGGTTTCGTAGCACAAGCCTTCCACGCAACTTCCATAAACAAGGAGGCAGAATTGGATCTAGCTTGGCAGCGACTGGGTGAGTCCCAGGGCCGTGCGTAGGATCGTATATTGTGATGATTGCTGCGTTGAATTCAGTTATGAATTCTCATCGTTTCTCAATTGTTTTGTTATATTATCATTATTATATTTGTTATTTTATTATGTCATGACTCTGTTTGCGCACCTAAAAAATTACCAGCCGCGGTAATTGCATGGAAATATCATTTTTTTTCTCTATTGGCTCTTTCTTCTTTCTTTGTTTATGCACATCTTCCTTGCAGCCTGCCATTCTTAATTTAAATACTAATTTGACTTCACATTCCTACGTTTTTTACTTTCTACTTAATGCAAGTGACATAGCGATTATGCGGATATTCAGAGTCACTGACATGAGAGAAAGTGCACTGAAAGTGCAGGAAGTGAAACGAGGAATTCTAAATAACCTAAAAATTTTAGTAACGCTTGTCTCATTTCTCTTTATTTTAGTTAAATAGTTAGTAATTAATTGATGATCCTGTCTTGGCATTTTTGTTCAATGCATCTTATTCCTTAGACGAACATAATCATTGTGCGGTATTATTTCGACCAGTTTCACCAGTGGATATATATATATGCTATAGAGCGAATGTTCTTGACCTTGAATATTTATATTCTGCTCGGTGAATAGGTCAAAAATAATTTTTGTTATAGATATAGAGACACCATTGCCAACAGCATGCACGAGTACGTTCCTTAGGACAAGTCTTCGAGCTGTACGAAAAGAGCCAATCAGACAATCCTGTAATAATGTTTCAGCATTTTTGGTAAGGCGAGCAATGCAGTTCCCCAGGAGTCAAGTCAGTTGACATTGCGTCATCTGCTTGACGATTCTGTTCTGGAGGAGCCACACTTGGCCCCTCAGATTGTCGACCTGGATGAAAACTCTCCAGGCTCTCCAGCAGATACCCTGGATGACGACTGCAGTTTGCTGTCCAGGACAAGTACCCTAACTATATCACCTTGTGAGCTCACTGAGGGAGCCCTGGAACCACGTTGCGGCTTACAAGGATCTTTAAGACGTAAGGTTATCCTCCGTGACGGTAGAAAACCAGCCGTTTCAACATGGCAGCGTTACTGGGTGCAACTTTGGGCCTCTTCCATCGTCTATTTCTCTTCCAAATGTTTCAAGGGGTAAGAAACATCACGCAAGTCAGTCGATACAGCCTCTCCTACTGCATCTTCCTTACATTACTAAATTCTCGTCTTTTTATTCCATTAGCAGCGACCGGTCAGACTTCAAACGTGAACCCTACAAAATGGTTTCCATCCTTGGCTGGATCGTCGAGCCACAGGACAATTCTTTGCATCCGGACACGTTTATCCTAACAGATCCAAACAAAGGTAAAAATTCTAATAATACAGTAGCCATACATTATAGCAAGTGTGATTCCCAATTGCGCGCTAACCCAATCGGACACAAATACCAATTTCTCCCTCCTGAGCGATATTCCATCAGTAATTCAACGATATTGTAAGTTATCTTTATCTGACGGAACCTTTTCAAACATTTAATGCTCATCACTAACCTACCCAGTCTCCGAAATTTGAACATTCCAACCTATCCTAAACTTACCTAACCAAACCTAACGTAAACTAATGTTAAATCACATACAATATACTATAATAAGACATCGTTCGTACCTAATTCTGTTCTATCTATTTAAAAGTGGATAGAATTTGCAGTAAAATGTCATTTGTGTCCAATTGATTTGTGCGGCAATGCCCCCCCCCCCCTTGCAACAAGCGAATCCATTAATTAACACTTTGCATTGGACAATTCTATCTAGGAAACGTTTACAAGTTTCGTGCTGGAAGTAACGAATTGGCTGAACAGTGGATAAAAGAATTGCGAGCGACTGTCAGAGGCGCAACTGATAGAAAACCAATACCTGCTAATCTAATGTCATTCGAATAAATGAAATCCGAATCCATAAGAAAAGAACAACTGAAGATCTAAGCAAGATAGGCGTTTGCTGTTAGCGCTGCCTGCCGTCTTCCTTGCACAAGAATCGAATATCATTGGAGAATTCTCCCGTATTTCCTGCACGTGCGTCACACATCTGTGCTCTCTAGTAGTGAAGTAATATTCTGTGTATAGAGTGACTCGCGAATCCTCTGCGTTTATTGGTGTTGTCACTTTTTTTTACACGCATCACAACAAACATACTATAGATCATCGTTTGAAGTAAGTCACAATTATATCTAATAACGATGATAATAATACCTCAATTATATTTTTCGTATAAGCTTTTGTGTACTATCGCTCATCCTTCAAAAACTTAGAGAATCCAGCGGCTAAAAGAATATATTATACATGATATTCTTTCTCAAAGGCTTCTCTCTATTGTGAATTTCACACTTTCTTTGTTCCTCATTTTTTTATTATCTTTTTTTTTTTTGTATGATACTCGTGGTAAGCATTTACATCGTATTTGGGCTGCGATTCAACTGATTGATCCATTTGTTTAAAATGGTTCTAGAATTTGAGAATATATTCTTTTTTATTTCTTTTTATGGTGTCACAATTGTTCATACGAAGAAAATTTGTTTGCGTTTAGCGTTGATCTGGCATCTCATCGTTAAAATTCGTGCAATAATCGTTAATGCTTAATTGTTTCTTTAATTCGTTCTTACAAAAGAGAAAAGCCCCATTCTTATAGACTGCTTAGAACGAAAAGTCGAAAGAAAACCAAATAAAATCTCTGTCAACTTGCTAACACAAAGTTGTTGTGCAGAATGGTCCCTGATTAGGATACGACGACACTTCCTATATTTATTTGTAACATAACTAACTTCCTGCCAGAATCTTACTGTCCACTAGTAGCCCTGTAACCCTATACACATCACTGATAATGAACTGAATAGTAAGGAGGTCGCCTTGAAAAAGAAATTCATGGTATTTTTTAATAACGATATTGTACAGACGACTGACTACGATGATGATGATGCTAATGATGATGGTAATGATGAACAATGATGACCGCGATTAAAGTACCTAGAATATATAATATAAATATAACGTTTATCACGTAGAGGAGGACTCGGGTTAACTATTAATTATATAAATTTTAATATACATATACTATAAGCTACAACTCGCAACGCAATACAGATAGCAGTGCTCGAAGGTTATTAAAAGCGTTATAATAATTATAATAATAATTAAGCCATTCGTCTCAATCTCATATCATTGGTAATGCTATTTAAAGATTTTGGCGGACAGTTAATGTCTTTGTATACACGAGCTACATATCTCTAATGGGGATGGGAGGGAACGAAGAAAGAGAAGGAAAAATAAGGGGTTTATTCAAAAATAAATATAAAAGGAAATGACGTCAGAAATGTTTGATTATACGCAATTACTTCAAAAATCGAGTCATTTGAGTCCTTAGGCTGTTGCTTGTCATTCGCTTCTTTTTATTTTCTCATTTACAACAGTTGTATTATACAGTCATTCAAATATTCTCATTGACTACTCTCCTCCCATCTAGTAATCATACGTTTTGGTATACTACGTGTTACAATAATGAAACACGTCGGGCACAATGTTGTATTCTATTTGATGAATGCACTTAACTACACCTTAGTACAGTTTGTAACATGCGAGCATTGTTCCTCATTATTGCAATGATCCATTAAATGATCACTCCATCACTGAATCCTTGTTCATTATGTCAATAACAGAGAGCATCTTGTATAACAGATTGATATCATCTCTATCCCTGGTGAATCTCATAGCGGAATCTCTCTAGTACAATGGCATTCTCTTTTAATATACTGTGAATAATTATTGTGAATAATCTTGAACAGCCATGGGGAGTAGCATGTGTCTCGATTACACGTTTATATAGTCTTTTACACTTTTAACTACTATTCAAAAATTCTCTTCTACACTCTTAAACTTTCATGTAGATTGGTACTAAAATGTTACTTTAATTCAGAGCTGATCATCTTTTGCATATTTTACTTTGTAATTTGTTTATTGATGCAAGGAACCTCGTCGTTGTTGTTGATTATATATATATATATATATCTTTTTAATTTTGTCTTTCTTATTTTCTTTTGGAAACTATTGTCTCATTCTAATTCATGTTAATGAGAACAAAGGACAATGAAAACAAAAAAGGTAAAAAACAGCAAAACAAAGACTGACCGACTGAGCGAGCGATCGTTTGACGATAAAAATTATTGTGAAATTAATGTAACGCGTGGATTGTTTACAGCAGTGTTAACGTTGCGCATCGGCAACAAACGACTGAAAGCTTCATTATCTCTAGAAATGTATATCGAGCATCTCATTGTAATTAATCAAAAAGCGACAAAGAAGTCGTGGCAACGATTTGGACGCACAAAAAAGTCAGTATGGAAAAAGTAACACAGATTGTATGAATGAGGAAGTAAATTGAATTGATGTTTTATGTTTGTATCACGGAAATGTATTTTTCTTTTCTCTCTCTCTCTCTCTCTCTCTCTCTCTCTCTTTCTCTCTCTCTCTCTCTCTCTGTCTCTCTCTCACTTTCTTTTTCTTTTGCAAGATTCTTCTTATCTTGCGCATCTCAAGATGGGTTATTTAGTACTTTTATGGTTTATCTAATGACTTTGTTTTTTCTTTCTATTTCTCTTTTTTTTTTTCGTTTTAACTCAATGTTAGAATTAAACGATGATCTTTGTATCGCATGGTCTCATTTCTTTCTTTTTCTAGTAGACATCACATTCTCATGTAATGCTCTCTGTCTCACTTTCTCGCTCTCTTACGCTCGTTTGTAATTAATGTAATATGTATTTGCACACAATACGGTCTGTCGTCCGTTATACATAATGTATGATGTATTTTAATGCAAACAACGCGAGACATTTGTATCTCTTTATTTTTGTATGCGAGGAGAACAAAACGTAGAATGAAGAGTCAGCTAAAAGCTCTGACACCTTCCGATTCTACATGTGTGAATACTTATCGTACGATTGAAGTGAGATGATCATGATTAATTAACAGATAAAATACACTCGATTAAGTCCTAATGTTAGTTAGTATCAAGTTATACGTACAAGTATGTATGTAATTAAGCCACAAGAAGACTATTTCTTTTAAATGTTTTATTTTTATTCTTTTTCTTTTATTCACTCTTTTTCGTACATTATCTTTTTCTCTTTCACTCGCCCGTTCCCACAAATTTCCATTCATCTCACTCTCCAATTTTATCGGACTCCCTCATCGTGTAGACGGATATATTTGTATGTTGTGTAATTATACGTAACATCGGAATACTGATATAATTTGTATTTATTGTCTGCAGTTGGCAGTTACATCTGCACTTCCACTACTTGATGCTTGCAAATATTTTTGTAGTAGAATTAGACGTAGTTATTGAATTTTATGATTATTGTGCTTAGAAGGGACAGCAGAGATTACCAATGTCCTCAATACTGATGCACATGTAATTGTTAGAGCATACGGAACGTTCCAGAATCAAGGTGCGGATCTGCTCATTGTCCAGTGAAAATTTAGTCTGCACCATGCTGTATAGATTCGTAGTGAAGTTCTGAGGGACATCAAGACTCTGAAAAGATAAGAAAACAAGAATGAAGATTCTGGATCAACGTCACCCGAGGATAGGAAATCAAAAAACAAATCCGCTAAGCTCTCGGGGGTGTTAGCAGCGTGCAATTTTTAAAGATAACGACGAAGTCCAATCCTTCTGTAATCCTGTCGTTAATTCCTGTCATAAATTCTAACTGCAATGACTTTTGGATTTGATTTTTTTGTGCTTAATGCTTCTTGGAGTCAGTTAGTCGTGCTATCGATAATTTTTCAATCTCAGTAACATTTAATTCTAGTAACAGGCTACTGATAGTGATTATTATTAAACACTAAGTTGTGTATCTTTCGTTCTGTCTTGGTAAATGACATTATAATTCTATTAGTGATTTTTGATGGATTATCGAAAGATTAATATTATACTGCTATAAGCCACGTATACGCGTGGTTACTCGAGCAAATTTGGACATTGCTTTTATTGATTTCTAAACGAATATTGTATCAAATTACCTGGAACTTCTGAATGAGCTTATTGTCAATGTCAAGGGCATCCGGAAACTCAAAGTCATCATAGGAACGTCCAGAATAGGTAGTAGACTGAGTATAACCACGGCCGAGTTCAAAGGTGATGAAATCTGGTCTCTCTGGAGAGAAAAAATATATAAATAAGTAACGGTTATTGTTCTTCCAATTAATTTCATAAGGGTTCGGATTTACCACACTCTGGCAAAGTTTGAATAAATTCCTGTCCAGGTTTTGAGTGCTCTTCAGCTAATAAAGAATTGCCCATTATTAGACAGAAAAATCCAATCACAATTGCAGCCGTGCAATGCATCTCTGCTCTCATTGTATTATTTTATTCTGAAAATTATTATATCAAGTTTAATCGAAGCACCGAAAATTTTAATTGAACAATTAAGGTTTTAGCTCGCACAAACAGATTCCTTTGAAACTTATCACAGTGATTCAGACCCACCTGACAAACGAGAGTAAAACGTAGAAGGTTCAATAGTGTAAGCAATGCACTTTGGTTCAGTTCGATGAGTCGATATCGAATGTGTCCTACTGTGATTGTGTCGGCTGCTTTTAATCCCGGTATCATGGTACGTGATTGATCGCAGATCTTCATAAATGCGCAAAGCCACCGTTTAGCAGGTAATGGTTAAATCCATTCTGTGATAATAGGAGGCTCTTCAACAAAAAGAAAAGAAGAATACAGTAAAAAACGTATAGAAGTATAAAATCCACGGATAAAATATACAACTTACGTATTATTGCTCCAACTTATATAATTTTTCTTTCTTTGATCTTTCAGACACATTTTATAGATCATTAATTATTTTTCTTCTCGCATTATAGATCCCACATTACGCTCTCCAGTGATCCACACTGTTCAGGAGTATTGCCGTGATTCATCCTCTGCTCGCTCACGTGTTTGCTAATAATTAAAAGAACCCTTCACGAAATAGGATAAAATTAATCCCAAGTGAATTTACATTATACTCACTGAATCTCGGATGTATGTCTGTTGCTGCAGAATGCCAAGAACCCAGGGACCTATGCGCCGCAGAATAATTAAAGCGCGTCCCTGAATAACCAGAATGACCTAAATAAATCAGTGGAGAAGATCGTGCATGTGTGTTGTAATATAATAACAAACCTCAGCTGAAGGGATGTTTCCACGGGGTCAGAGGGATGGCGGCTCATGACGTACAGTATCCTTTGGGTAGCTCTGTTTTAATCCTTAACGAGTGTATGAGATATCGTGGGTAACTTCTCCTAGCTGGGGAGCATTCATCTCTCTCTATGTAAATTTGACAGCGTGGCTTCCATCCTCACCTGGATATCCCTTGTATTTTCACCATGTGAAAATATAAATTTTCTGGATTAACTTATACAAGTCACAAAATTCGAGTATTTAAAAAAACAGTTTTAATCGTAGATTCTTTAAAGTCTTTAATGATATTATATGATTTCTTTGTCAGATGGGCATATTGTATAGTTCTTGTAAACTCTTATTTTTGGCCGTTTTCATATTTTAGTTGACGATTTTATAAAGATAAATTGCTAAGATGTTTATCGTACAAGAAAATATTAAAGCCCTTGTTGCAGCTATTTAAAACTTGTTTTACGGCGATGTACTTTGTACAATCGTTCACTGAAGAGGTAAAGAAACTGGACATCTTATGGGATATGATGTAACGGTAGCATGGGTGTCTTGCACACCCACAGATCGATTTTACCAGTTGAAATGGTATGTATGGATATACATATATTCTATATATCATATTGTACAGTACAAAATACACAGCATGTCTAGTCTAATTATATTTAATCAGCGGTGCTATTATTCAATTCCATGTATAAAGTGCATATCAACACATTCGAATAGTTTCCCGGGTTTTCCAAAAGATGGCGCCATATGCATTATCCAAGAGGCGTTGGTCGAGTGGCAAATTTTCGAACTACATCCATCATGAGATTCTAAATTGCTGTATAGCTGCCTACAAGTATACTCGCGCTATTATTGCATGCTGTTAATAGTCGACCGAAGTTATAGAGATTACAGGAAGATGACGTTGCAATAGATATCCGTGGCGCGTGACAAAGTATCAACATACGTAAATAATATTGTTGGTAACTTTAAATGTTTCGAGGAAGGTGAAGAAGATGGTGCTACATAAAATTCCGCGAATGCTTCCACGCTCTACTTCGTTCAGAATGGCGACAGAATCGATGAACCAGTTGTATGTTCCTTGGAATTGCACTGTAGTCAACTAAAGTATCGAAAAGGCCTAAATTGTCAGCATAACTGTTATGGATATCAAGTACAAACTATTTGTTGTTCTACTTTATAATCTACAAATCTATGCACGGTATTTCGTATACATTAACACCGTACGAGAGTCACGAGAAGGACTCGTTTATTTCAAACCAAGTGTAATATACTCTATGCCTATGCAGGAAGCATGTGAGCTCTATGTTATCTATCTATCTATGAATCTATCAATATAACCAGAGACCGAGATTGTTTTATCTCTTTTCATTGCACAGGAATCTCAAGTTCTGTCCCAATTGATGTGCCACTGGGTACTGACAGGGTATGGCTATCCTCGTACGAGGTCGTAGCCCAATCGAAGTTCCGCGGCTGCCAGTAAGACTCAGGACGGTTACTATAGGAACCCATTGCAAACACTTCTATTAAAGATCCCGCGGCACTCGAGGTTTGCAGGCAACCGGTCAGGAAGTAAGGTAGCTAGGCAGGTAGACTTCTAAGTAGTAGCGAGGCATGTAGGTATACGCAGAGTTGCCCTCTGAAATGGAATGACATGCATATATGTAAGAATCACATATTCTCATACAGCTATAATAACGTATACTGTACATACAGTAAAGAATATAGTGAAAAGTTGATAAGAGTGAATAAAAATCGAAGGATCTTTGCTCTATAGTATTGTGTTACTGTAAATGTAATAGAAATATAATGTACACGAATGTGAAGCAAATGTGAAAATCCTTAGAACCAATAAGTTAGGAAACTAATGAATTTCTTTAAGCAAATGGATATTTATCTAGTCATTTATATTCCGATGACACTTTCAATGAATGATTGTCTGCGATATGAATGACCAACATTATATCCCTTAAGTACTGCAGAGTCATGATTCAAATGGGACATTTCACAATTCTAATATTTTTTATTTTCCTCTCTCCGTGCCTTTTTAAACGATGTCATTCAAGCTTTTTATTTTTTATTTTTTTTTTACAGCTCCATCTTGTTCTCCACTACGGACACGATATCTTGTCTCCCACGCACCCTGCACACGCAAACTTCACTTCACCCCTGGCACACTTGTACTCAGGTACTATCTATGTATATCTAGGTACAGCCTTTGTATATGTATGTTCCCTCCCCCTTTCATGGACTTGCTATAGTATCTGCTGTGAGGACAGAAGGTACCATTGCGAAGCGTTACTGATTCTCGCTACGACTGTACGTAACATGGCATTAACTCATTTCTTGCAAACGTTAGTAACCCGTTGAAAAATATTATTCCATTTGGTTCAAGGTAATAGAGAAAATATTTATGTTTCAGACTTTTCAGTAAAAAATGTTCTGAATCGAGAACTCAGAATCGATTTTATCAATGTCACACTGAAGCCACTGTGGACGAATTTCCGGTCACGCTATCACAATCAGCTCCTGAGTTTCTTTCAAGTTTTTCATTTACATAAGGCTCTTATGTACCACGTCTATAGTACATAGAGTACAGATCAGATGGCCACGTACGATTGGGCATAGTACAAATGAGTGCAACTTCAGTCGGACTGATTTCCCCGTGGGTCACTTGACTTCCTGAAGTATCCGGGAGTCTACGGGACCCTTCACCTGCACAAGAGTTTCACTCTCGGTTTGGCTACTGTGGGCTGCATCCCTTATTTTCATGGGGGCTGACGCAGCCCATCGAGACCATTTTTATGGGGTAGTAAACCCAGCGAGGAACCATGAGAATTTGCGGTGCGACTAACCGGTAGGAACAAACAAATTGGTGAAGTATTCAGTATGTCAAATGAACCTGAGATGATTTAATGGTGCAACGTACCAACTTAAAAGTACTAATATTTACTATGAAATCGTAATCTTTCTTGTTTCATAGTTCTTACCATGTCCTGAAGTGGCAAACATCATGGAGTGGCATACCCATCTACCGATCTACCTACCACTCTTGGCTGGGAATGTGTATGGGGTAGAACTTAAGGGTGTAGACAGTAGAGTAGCTTACAAAGGACAATGCGGCGCATATGCTGAGCGTATCATAGTCGAGCAACAAGCGCGTTTATTCCCTTGGCACCCCTGGCACACTATACCGAAGAGAGAGGGTGAGAGAGAAAGAGAGAGAGAGAGAGAGAGAGAGAGAGAGAGAGAGAGAGAGAGACAGAAAAGAGGAGAGAACACAACACGCACGCCCATCTCATCCATCGGCGCCCATGGGGCCATGGGGCATGCATATCCCTTATTCATAATCCTCGTTCAATGCGTTTCGACGCTTTTAAGATTTTAGATCCGTCGTGCGTATCGGGCAGACTTATATCATACACTTATGTCGTTTGGCATAGGATGATCCTTTGTAGCAGTAAAAGATGCTGATAAAGTACTCTCGCTGATGTAACAGATAAGAATTACTCCATTAGTGAGTATAGAGAAAATCTTACAGAAACTTTCTATGCAATTACTGTAGTTACTAGAAAGAGATCAGGTATCTTGGCAGGTAGAAGAAGGGGTAGATTCAGTTCGTACTACCCCTTTAAAAAGTTGATTCTCTCTCAATTCTATTTCAGAACCAATCGATCAGAAATTGGAGAGGACCTGGGTGTGCTTCCACCGTACGATTTAATTCGATATGAAGATAATTACTCGTGAATTCACATGCTTATTGAATTCATCAAGTAAGGTAGAATTTTAATGTGTTGGCACATACATGGCTAGTATAATTAAATTATTTAAACATTTTTTAAAAATTTTATAGAGATTACGTCACGGTGCGGTTTCTACTTGGACCACGACACTTATGGTTATTATAGTATTTCATGGAAATGAATGGGAAATGATAAAAATGGGACTGGCATACTTTTCCCATGGCGCACAGACATTGGGCATAAATTCTAATATCCCTGTTTCAAGTGTGATTTTATACGCACTTTGTGCCTTCTTTTACAGTACTTGGAAAGGAAGGATCGCGAGTGGGCGAGACCCCCCGCGAAGCGCCGAGTCGTAAATATTATGAGGGTCGATATATTCGCCTGGGATTTTCGTATCCCTCAGGGAATCAAGGCCGATTCCGCGCCTACGTCCTGCTACCATCCCGACCTACGTGTACAACTTTCCTACACGTAAGCAGCAGCTACTTTACCACGGGTAGTGTGCGATTACATATGGTCTTGTACATGGGTCAGATGCGAAACACGTGTAGCCTGATGGAAGAAAATAATACGGGTCTTAGCATAAAAGCCATGATAAAATTTTGTAATTTTATTTTTTTAAGTTTTTTTTTTCAACTGCATAGTGAATGATAAAAAATTTGAAAAACGCTATGAATGTATTTGTTCGGCATTTATGAAAATTTTTATCAATCATGGATATATGGAAGAAATTCTCCATGGTGTTTCCCTAAGGCATGTGTGACTTATGATTAAATACAAATGATGGTAATACATACAAACAAGGGCAAACGAGTATTTGAGCGGGATAGAATAGTCTGAATTGTACTGGTTGGCTAGAAGGGGGTTCTTACCCTATGGGGTTCCATGGGACCCCTACCGATCTATGAGCTCTGATCTCATCCGGGACATCCCATGGGTTCATCCCAGCCTGACAAAAGAGCATCTGTGCCATCCTAAGTCCTCTTCAGGTCCAACCTGTTCGCAACTATGTTGGCCTGCGCGCAGCATGAATTCATTATCCGAGTAATGTAAACATATTGCCAATACAGAGACCACCACTGGAGCTTCACTATAGAGATCCGTTCATTCATACTATTCTGTACTAATATGTACTCCTAGTATCACGTGATATAAAGTTACTACCGTGACTTTTATTCATTCTGACATTATACACTATCAAGTATCATATGATACTACACTATTATTGTGCGCTTCAGTGACTTCGAGCTGATGCCAGTGTCTTGCTGAACTCGACGTTCTGTAACAGAATGATACAATATACCGAGAATCATTATACTTCTACAATATAAAATATAAGGGGTGAAATATTTGAAAAAAGACTCGTTAGCACCCCTCCGGATCCAGTTTAGCAATTAGAATACAATATACGCCTTATCACGTGAGAGTTTGAAACTCATCGATCTCGGTCGATAATGTAAAAATTACAGGGCCGTCTCATAATACAAAAGTATGGGCAATAGCCATTAAGTAATTATTTCGGTTTTCTAACTATTGAAATATTTCAAAAACCTTATTGCTACGCGAACTGTCAGTTTGCGCTTATGGGAATCGGTCATAGTCACATGTCATTTTTTGAAGAGGCCACACTGCCCTGTCGGCCACTTGCGGCCAACTTCTGCTGGTGCGTTTCTACTGACTAACCCTGTATATTCGAGATGCTTGAACGGCGCATAGATGACATTCAACGCATATCAGGAAATGCATTTACCTAAAGTAAGTTGAGGAAAGTTGATAGTTTCTATGAAAGGTGAAAAGTACGTTACTCGCTTGTGATGTCATAATTCAACATGGCCGGTCTGGGTCCGGAGGAGCATGTTAAAAAATATCACGTTTTTCTTTTAAGTACCTATCATAAAAGTATATGTAGAGAGTATACATAGTATAGATATATACACTGTTAATGCAGGTATTGGTATTCCAGGTGTACGAGGTAGAGGATTTGGCAACGCGAAGGTCAAGCAGAAGAAGAATTCGAAGCATGTAATAAAAATGGAAAATTATGATAGCCAGAAAAAAGAGTGAAGAGTAGTTCAAGACTGGTCGGAACAGGAGAAGAAGAAACTTTTGAATGTCAAGTGTCGTGAATGTGAATGTCGTTGTAGAGGTTTAGTTTAGGTTGATATCAGCAAGAAAGAAAAAGAAGATGAAAGGAAAAGAAAGAAGCAAGAGAGTAAATAGGATAGGCAAGAGTGGGAGAACGTGCCAGAGGGAAAGGCAGAGAGAAAGGGAGTTGCGTGCTCCTCCATTTTGTCTTAACGCGGTGTGTGCGGTTGCTAGGCAACAGCCCTTACGCTCCGCTCATTTATAATTCAGCAGCCAATGCGGACCACGCGGCCTCGTACCCTCGGCAACTCGTTCGGCTTCGCTCTCAAACGGTGGAACACACTGTTCCTTCCTCCCACGTCAGCCAACCAGCCAGTCTACTACTCAGCCAGCCACCCTACCGGCCTGCCTGGCTGGCTGGCTGCTAAGCACGCACATATGTACATAGGTGCGTGAGTTACTCTCGTATCCACCCTCTGGCAGCAGACATGCGAACTATCCTTCCCTCCAAGGATCGGATTCGCTCACTTTACTCTCAAACGCTGGAACATACTGTTTATTGCTCGGTGAGCTGTCTGTGAGGTTTCGAGAAATCCTACGAATTTCCTCGATGACTCGTCTGCTGTTGTACCTATATCACTGACGTCACGTAACATTTCAATGAAGAATCCCTTTACTCGAAGACGCTCCACGAGTTGAGTAAATAGAAAAATAATTATTAAAAATAAACACGAAATGCGGATGACTGAGATGAACCACGACGTCAGTGTTGACGCTTAAGGGATTTAAATTTTGACCTACAATAAAGTGGCTTCTTAAAAATACATTGATCACGTGGCTCAACTGCGGTATACTAACTCCAAAAAATATGAGTATTTGTTATCACTCATTGCCTTATTCGTGAACTAATGTCATTTATTTTCTCAGTGAAATGTAACAGCAGATCCAAAAAAAAGATTCGAAGAGGTACAAGGAGAACTACGAACGCTTTCAGAGCGAGAAAGAGGGTGGTCGGTGTATGAGAAGAGCAGGAGAGACGGAGATACTGAAAGAGAGCAGACGCGGTCAATTTCCTCGGTGCGTAGGAAGGAGTTTAATCCGAGCGTCAACAGAGGCATTACCGCGCATTGGACCCCTTCTCTCTAACAATCTCTACCACTCTCTCACTCGCTCTCCTTGCCTCGGCGACTCTTTGCTCTCCTCCCGTTCTCTCGTGATGGTCCCGGCATGGCACGTCCCTTCAGCATGTCCTACCAACCCTCCCCTCAACCCCGTCGAAAGCCCCACCGTTGCTGCCTCGAGCTCGGCCGGCAGTACCATCAGCCCCGTGAGCGAAGCGAGGAGTTGGCGTCCCCAGCTCACTCGACTCATGACGTATTCATGGTTCATTATCATAGCGAATCATGGCCCATCAGCTTTTGATTGTCCGCCAGCGTTGTTAGTCCTAACTAATGCGACTGCAGTGACCACCATAGGCGGATAGTAGTAACGTCCTTCTCCTACCTATATATCGTAATCCTCAGTATCTCTCGTTTATCCTGCTCTCACATTTGTATGTACTTTTATCGAAAATCCTTTAAGCAGGTATTACAGGAGAATTGTCGACGTCAAGAATGCTGCCTAAATAGGAATGAGAAATGTAAGTTAACAGAGGACCGAAATTTTTATGCATTTTTTGAGTTATAAATTCGTGTCATTTGAAACATCACAAAGAAATTCATATCTAGTCTGATTGTCCTTCTTTTAATATTACGTCCATAGACTATGACGATACGTGATGGCTATTGTCGAGGACAAAGGAAATTCTGACTAGTCGTTTTTAGATGGACATATTGCATAGGGATATTTTACCTTTGGACGTAGAGTGTAAAGTGACTACCTAGATAGCTATTTTTGATAAATATACGAAAACGTATGTTTGGATCTTTGTGTCTGGGGTATTTGACGCATAGAGGTGTCAAACTAGTTACGGAGATGATGTAATCTTGTTGGAACCATGTGAAACGACCTTTCACTATAATTAACGTAAACTATTCGTGGAATCACTTGGACAAAACATTCTCTACCGTTACGAATTAAATAATAACTTTATTTGTACGGAGAGTAAGCGATCAATCATTACCAATTGTATTCATCAATTCTGTATAGATGTTATCGATACTTCAGTAAGATCTATATGAGTTGTGTTATACAGCCAATCTGTAAGTAAGAACTGTTGTTGTAATAACCAAACACAAGGATAGCATTTTTAATAAGTCACACGTGACTTGTAAAGTCATTGAAACATGAGAAAAATATACTTTGTGTCATACCATGTTCGTGGATAATTGGTAATATGAATTTTATACAGGACCAGCTGGTGATATCATTGCTGCCAACCTGTAAAAAAAATTCATCCTAGACTAAATATATTTCATAAAAGTAACAGATGTACAATACCTATGCTTTGGAGCTTTTGTAACTTTAAATTACTAGAATAACAAACGTTTCAATTGCGTCTGATCCTATTATATTATTAGCTAATAATATACTAATTTACAATGACGAATTTCACATTCAAATTTTTCCGATGTTCTGATCCGTGAGAGTGACTATCCTAATCCGAAGTACGGACACTCGTCTTGTGGGAACTAACAGTCAGTGTGACAGTCGGTCGATGAGGGTTGCTATTGAGAATGAATGTAATTGCTCTAAAGTACTTTAAAAAGTATTTCAGCATTACGCTGTCCTCTTGAACCTCGCGTTGACACCAAAGGGATTGAGTGGAGAATAGGCAGTACGAGGTTAGGACAGTGTTAAAGTGCAGACATAAGAAAAAGGGATACGTGTCACACGACGTAACACGTAGGTATAGTTTTAACCGAAGCAAATCAATATTACAAAAAGAAAGAACCTGATGTATCGCCAGATTTCCCTGTAAAAGAAACAAGTTAAACCATATACACGTAAAGTAGAGTCAAGTAATAGCACACGATACGGATCTTTATAAAATATACGTTTTTTAGGTTAGAGTGAAATTCATTTAGTGACTACGAAGAAGCGGATAGTATACGAAGAGACTAGTAGCAGCAAAGGTAGGTAAGTACTTTAGGTAGATAGATAGTCAGGTAGCGAGGCAGGCAAGCAGGCAAGCAGGCAGTCTGCGGTGGCAGGTGACGGCATGTTGTGAGCTGCATAATGAATAATGCCAAAGTCGAACCACAAGCCGTTCCCTGTCCTTCCGGCGGGCTGACTGGATGACAATCAGTCTAGGAAAAAGCGCTGATTGTCTTTACGGCATTGTGGATCATGTCAGTGTGCATACTCATTTCAGTTCCAATTCCTATACGCGATATCTATAATGCAACTAGGCGTAATTTCCTCAGAATTAAAATTGAACAATACTGTCTCCTCTGTAGGATATAAAATACTTATAAATATATGACTGTAGCACTTTCAGCACCTATAGGGTAATTTGAACGGAAAATTACTCGAATTGATTCTAGGAAAATATGAATGGACGGTTATGGTCACAGGGTTGTTACAAGCGTTGTGAAATGGATAAATTGCGTAGTCTCGAGCAGCGAGCCACGCCCCAGCCCCTAGTCAGATTAAAAGGGTAATAATCAAATACGGTACGCTTTATTCCCTCGCATCCCTCGTAATTCCACGGAAAATATATTCCGGCCGGAGCTACTCTCCTTCCCTCTCTCTCTGTCTCTCTCTTTACTCTCATTCTCGTGTTCTGATCTCTCGCTCGCTCGTTTCCTGGAACCATTCTCTCTGTCTCTCTCAATCTCACTTACTCCTGTAAGGACCTCACCGACAAACTCAGGCTGTTAAATGTAATCTGGCGTAGTGTTTGTTACTTCTTACTCTTCCGCGCAGCATTCACAGAGAGAGTGCTGGTCCCATCGGCATAGGCCCGCCAGAGAGAACAAGGGGTTAACCTCGTTCATTATTCACTACTTCATTATATATGAATAAATTTTCGAGTAATGCCGAGATAAAGCAGCCAAGTTTTCGGAGGGCTCCGTTACTCTACCCCTCTTCTCTGTATCTCCTGTATACCCTCTCACAGCCTCTTTCCACGTATACACCATCATCGCCACTCTGGCTGCCCTTCTGAATATTTAGGGGATGTCACGCAATATCGTTATATGCTCGTCTAGCATGGCACTGATGCTCCTTCAGGATATTCCTAATTAAATTTTTACCTGGAAAATAGACGAAATATACATAACCTTAAATATCATGGGGAATCCGATAGTCCAGATATGCATAAAACTTTTTTTTTCAAACTACTATATAAAATAGCATTAAGCAGTTTATAGGGAATGGAAGCTGATGCTTAGTGGCAA